AACTAAGCTTTGGCCTCATTTCTAATGTGAGGCTCAGCACATTTCCAGTGAATGGGCTACTGTCATTCAAATTTTACTCAAAACTCAAATTACTTTCTTTTACAAAGTTGGTCCTTAATAAACATCCTTATTTCTGTTAGTGGTAACATAACTACCTTAAAGAATATAAGTCTTTCAACCTATAAGCATGACAGCAATCTACCTCTCATTACTCCTCTTCAATTTCCCTATGCTTCAATCCAAGCAGACTTCTCGCTGTCCCAGTAACTCGCCCTTAACAAGCTTATGCCTATGAGATAGGCATTATTTTGTCTTTATCTCACAAGAGAGAATGAAGTGAGAGCTGGTATTTGCATCAGGCAGTATCACCCCAGTGATTATACTCTTAACCAGTATGCAGTAATGCCACCCATTGACTTGTCACTATCACTCTATGAGATAATAAGTCATTTATGCCCAGTTTACCAGTGAGTTTACTGAAGCTCAGAGAAGCAACACTATTAGTGAGTGGGGGTGACCAGATCCAACCTAATCCTTTTTTGTTCCTGGCCCCCACATTAGGGTATCTCTCCACAGCGTTCTGTTCCCATTCTAGAACCTAAACCACATTGGCAGCCATTCCAAAAGACAGAAGAAAGGTGTTAAGTGGTAGCGACACTAAGGGACTCACGGGACGAGCCTGGAAGCAGCAAAAACAGTTCACAGCCCAAACAGAATAAAGAACGTGTACCTGGCCACTGCAAAGACAGACTCTTAACTTCTTGAGTCATGTGCACTTACTCTGTCCCAGGGGCAGTCTCACAATGCTCTGTGCTATGTTCGGCAGGCCTCTACAATGTCTGACCCACCCAGAGTCCTCAGAGCTCATTTCCTAGAAAGAGAAAAGTATCCTCTGCTTCAAGCCACCAACCATGCCAAATCTTCAAAGCAGAGTGGGCATCAGTGCAAGTATCACACCTACTTTGTTTACTGAGTCACATATTTAGTTGGAAAATTCTTTGAATCAATCACTCAAGAGTAGCCCATACATTCCTAAAGGACTGGTGATTTTAAAACTAAAAGTAGTAACTTCTTTAAAGTGTGGGAGCACCTTACCCCAACTGCTCTTCATAAGTGGGCCCAAGGCTACCTTTTTTCCCTGAGGTAATAAACTGACAGAGTCTAGAGGATTCTAGAGGAAATAAGCTGGTAAGAATCAATCCAAATCAAGTCATTCAACACACAGTTAGTGGCAACACAGTTAGCGGCAACATACAGTTAGTGGCAACACAGTTAGTGGCAACACACAGTGACAATACGTGTGTAAACATCACAAAGATTATGTTCACAGGCTCTGGCTTTTCCAAGGAATAAAAACAGAAAAATAATCATGAATTTATTTCACATTAGTAAACTGCATCTCATAAAACTCGGGAGTCTTGAAAAGTACTGTTCCTCTAAGATAACAAGTAAAGATAACAGATGGGTTTTACAACTATAGGAATGCTTAAACACCAAATTCAGAATGGTGGCTACCTCCTGGAAGAGATGAAGAGAGGGAGCGGAAGGGGATTGGGGAGGGGAACACAGAGGGCTTTAACTGAATATGTGTTGTAATTCTCAAGTTCAGAGTAATGGGTTGATTCCCCAGGCATTCACTGCATTATTTATAATTTTTGTATGCCTCATGTGTTATTTATAAAAGAATGATTCATTGCTTGTCAATTTACCAGAATTAACCATACCCTGATCATCCCCTTCCCTATTTTATTGCCATGTAATGAAATGAACTTTAAAGGAGGTTTGTGAACTAGATGTGTTTTAATGTAGTTCAGTCCCTTTGGAACCAAGGGAGAGCCTATTATTCACCTAAGGGTGGAGTCAACAGAAGGGAGGTGACTTAATCCAACAATTATTTACTGAGCATCTACTAAGTGTCAAGTGCTAGCAACCCAATGTGGCGTCTCATTGCAGTGGCTTCTCTTGTTGTGGAGCATGGGCTCTAGGCGCGCAGGTTTCAGCAGTTGTGGCATGTGGACCCAGTAGTTGTGGCTCGCGGGCTGAGCTCCTCCATGGCATGTGGGATCTTCCCGGACCAGGGCTCGAACCCATGTCCCCTGCATTGGCAGGCGGATTCTTAACCACTACACCACCAAGGAAGTCCGAATCGCTCGCTCACTTTAAAGTGGCTAACTTTATGTGATGTGACTTTCACCTCAATAAATTAAAAAATATAGTATACGACATTAGGTATATTATATACTTACACTCTAGACACCCTTGAGACAATAGGGGAAATTTGAAAATGGACTGGATGTTGGATGATGTTAAGAAATTACTGTTAGAAATTTAGCATTGATAATGCAACTGTAAATATGTCCCTCTGCCATTTGGGCCACTGACACCACAAAAGCCCGCCCTGAGCTGTGGGCCTCCGGGAACCCCACCCGGACAGAAGTTGAGCACCAGTGCTGGTCCTGCAGCTTTCCTCTCGGAGCTTCCCCACCCCCGCCCTTCTCCTTGGCCCGCTGCTGCCAGTTAGGCCCTGCCGCTGGGACGCTGCAGAGGGCAGGCTGGAGCAGAAAGGGGATTTGCTTCTCGGTTTTACTGGCATAAACTCAGCAGCAGTCTTCTGGCTGTAACTGCTTTCAGTGGTTGCAGATGATTCCCTTTTGCTTTGCCCCAGAACCAACCTCACAGGGTCCTCAAAGACCCTGCTATCGACAGCGCCCCCTCTTTAGAGGTCTGGGCCCCCCCTCCAAGTTTTGTCAGGTTTGTTTGTTTTTCTTTAATTGGAGTATAGTTGATTTACAATACTGTGTTAGTTTCAGGTGTACAGCAAAGTGATTCAGTTATACATATATATGTATATATCTAAATTCTTTTTTTCTGATTCTTTTCCATTATGGTTTATTACCATAAATTCAAAATACTGAATATAGTTCCCTGTGCTCTACAGTAAATCCCTGTTGTTTTTGTCAGTCTTAATAATAACAACCTCTCTCCTTTTTTCCCTCCAGTTCTAGGAGCCATAGCTGTTTCTAGCAATTGCTACCTTAGGGTGGTTCCCTTTTTGCCTTTTCAGCTCTCCAATACATGGGTTAACCAACCTTTATATTATAATGATTTTTTTTTTTGATGTGGACCATTTTTAAAGTCTTTATTGAATTTGTTACAATGCTGCTTGTTTTATGTTTTGGTGTTTTGGCCGTGAGGCATGTGGGATCTCAGCTCCCCAACCAGGGATCGAACCCGCACGCCCCGCATTGGAAGGCGAAGTCTTAACCACTGGACCACCAGGGAAGTCCCCTATTCTTTATATTAAATTTTGTCTGTGAAAATAACTTTTATTGCTATCTTTTGACAGGACATGACTGATGCATCAACTGCAGACAGTTATTCATTATATTTGCTTTATAGCTTATTGTAGGTCTGAAATCTTTCATTCTAATATTTTCATTTTACCATTTTAATTAGCAACCAAAAAATATAAGGTAGCTAGGAATAAACCGGACAAAAGATGCACATGAAATGTAAGGAGATATTAAACAACACCTAAATAAAGGAAAGATATACTACATTCAGGCATGGGAAGACATATATCCCTAAAGATGCCAATCTTCTCCAAACTAGATAATACTTCTCCAATAGTAGTATCTAGTTTGTGTCTTCTCCAATAGATACAACCTTCTCCAATAGATACTACTATTGCCCTTCAGAACTTACAGTCTAGTGAGGAAATCGGAAATCTCATCGCCAGAAATAAAGGTGAAAAATAAGATTTCTATTGAATGCATCCAGTTACCATCTCAGAGGGGATAAAAGATGATGTAGGTTACAAGAAAACCATGACTTTGAAAACCCTATTTTGTCACCCCGTCTTTACCAGAATAATTAGCAGTATAATACTTGCTACAAAAAGGAACGGCAAGTAAGAGGGCAGTGAGGTGGAGTGCCCTGAGAGAGCTGCACCACATCTCGCACAGAACTGCAACCAAATACATCAAGGAATAAAAGGAGTAGTGACAGCTACAAAGAGGAAATGAGGTAGAATTCCTGGAGCCAGCTGTGAAGTAAAAAAGAGAACAGAGTAGGCCTGGGTCAGGGCAGGGGTCTCAAAGATGACTAATCAAAGGAAACTTGTGGGTTGTGAAATACATGCCTCTCCTGTAGGAAAATACCTTTTCCCTGTTTCGACTTCCACAATTTCCTCTGAGAAATTGTAAGAATACTGAAGACAGAAACACCATTAAGTCTTAAAAAAAGAATTTCTTTAGGACTGTTCTGCTTTTACCTAGATTAGGCCTTCCATTTTGCAAATTCCAAATAAAATTATCCTCAAATCTGACAGTTTGTGAATGTTTGGCCTAAGAATGGTAGGAACTGAAAGGTCTTTACTCCCACCACAATATATACCGATCTGGAGCAAAAGTAGAAAACTTGGCTAAATATGGAACAGGTGTTCTGGGAAAAAGAAAGCCCCGTAAAAGGATGGGTAAGAGTAAGTCTCTAGAGAGGAACCTTAATGCATCGAGGTTTCGTCCACTATTTACAAAAGAGAGAGGGAGTAGTCTCAACAATACCCAACAACTGCCCATAAAGAATTCCATGCAGGAGTACCTGATGGCCACTTAAAACAGGCATCACCCTTTGAAAGTTAAGAACTGCCGGGAAGGCCAAAGACGCCCATTTGCGAAGCCCAGGCGGCCACGGGGGAGGTCTCCCCACAGGTCCCTATAGTGCCGGGGTCAGTCTGGCGCGAATCTGGAGCAGAAGCACACGTCCTCCCGCAGGAGGCCCTACAAAAATGGCGTCGGCTCCACCCCAATGTGACCAAACTGGAAGACAGGAGTAACTTCCCAGCTCCTCTCCCGAGCCCAGGATCGCGTCCGGATCGCCCAGCTGCGTGCAGGCAGGGCGGAGAGGCAGGTTACTGCCGCCTAGGAGATCCGGAGGCCGCGTGCACAGCCGGGGAGACCGGGCCGAGCGGAGTCGTGGTCCCGGGGTCCAGGCGGCATTACCTTTATTCTTAGGCATGGCGGTGACGACGGCCTCGCTGCGTCTCCGACTCCTATCTGGGTGGCGGCGGCGACTCCTCCGAGGGGCGACGCGTGGGACAGCGTGACACGAAGCAGGCGGGGGAGAGCGGATCGCGCGCGCGCGAGAATCTAACAACTGAGCTCTTCCGAGATCCGCTTGCACCCACGCTGGGCCGCGACAAATGGCGTCGCGGCTGCTTGCGTAGCTTTTCCCCGCCTCCCAGCGCCCTCAGGGCCCGCCCCCACTCCCGGCCCTACGGCGTAGGCGGGGCCGACTGACGCCTATTGTCAGAGCGGAGGGTGACGCGGTCCCGGAGCGTTTACCGCAGTTTGCCAAACCCCTTGGGGGACTGGGCCGTGAGCAGGCAGAAGGCGGAATCCGGGAGGGAGTGGGCGGGGCCCACCACAATAAAGGCGGGTTCTGGTAGCGCCCGCTGCTGGCTGCTTTGTGGCAGACTGGCGTCTCAAGGTTTGAGCTGCGGGCTCATTAACTCTAATCTCAACAGCTCAGTCTTAACTTGACCCAAAGCGTAATATTTGCATGACACTTGTTATTACTTTATAAATATCTGTGTTTCCTACCTCACTGTAAACCTTATTTGGCAGAGATCACATCTCTTGCTTACTATTACCAGCATTTAGCAGAATGTCTGGCACATAGTAAGTGCTCAACACACAGGAAGGGAGGGGAGAAGACAAACTGAGTGTTAGGGGCTGCATTGTATCCTCCCAAAATTCGTATGTTGAATTCACAACCCCCAATACCTCAGGATGTGACTTTGGAGATAGGGTCTTTAAAGAGGTAATTAAATTGAAATGAGATCATTAAGGTGGGCCCTGATCCAATATGACTGGTGTCTTTATAAGTAAGCAGAGATTAGCACACAGCACAGAGGGGAGCATCGCGTGAGTAAGAAGGCAGCCATCCTAGAAGCCCAGGAGAGACCTTAAAAGAGACTAACACTGCGGACACCTTGATCTCAGATTGGTAGCCTTCAGAACTGTGAGAAAATAAATTTTTGTTGTTTAAGCCACCCAGTCTGTGGTACTTTGTTTATGGTAACTTCAGCAAGCTAATACAGCTGACTATGCAGGATGAATATAAGTAAGCTTATTTTAAATAAATCACCTTTCTGAAAACATTAGCATTTCAACATTTTCTAAGGAGGTGGACATACCTAAGTGACAGAGAAATAAAGTACAATTGTCAAACAAAGTGGTTCTCTACCAGGGACATTTGACAGTGTCTGGAGACACTTCTGGTTGTCACATCTGGGGAAGGAAGGCCGTGTTGCTGGCATCTCGTGGGCAGAGGCCAGGGGTGCTGCTAAACATCCTACAGTGCACAGTACAGGCCTGTCACCCCTAAACAAAGCAGTATCCAGCCCAAAACATTATTAAGAGTTGAGGATGACAAACCAGTGACAGATGCACTTCTTAGAGGAAATGGAAAGATCCGGGTTTCTCTTTCCATCTGTAGTATTTTGCAGTTTACACGATTGAGGATGAAAGGATAGCTATAAAATTTATTTAAATTTTACTTCCAGGCCAAATAATTGTGAACTTGGGCTTTGGAGTTAGAGAGACCCGGTTCAAATTCAGCTCTGCAGCAACTTATTACTATATGATCTTGGACAAGTTACTTAACCTATTTATAAGGCTCAGTTTTTTTCATCTTTAAATTGGGTGTAGGAATAGAACTTACCATTTTGGGTTGTCGTGGGAATTAAATTGATATAATGCATTCAAGTGTTCAGTAATTATGCCTAGCACGTGGCAAGTAATCAGATTCCAAATATTTTAAGTTTAAATATTTAAAAATCAAAAGTCTCTGTCAATTACCCAATATAAAACACCAAAGGAGAAAAAAAATCAGGCTTCATTTCTGTTACAGGATGGCTCCCAAACATGACTGATCATCAGAATCATTTTGAAGGAGGTGAGTCATGGGGACATCTGGGGGAAATGTGTTCTAGGCAGAGGGAACAGCAAGGACAAAGACCCTGAGTGGGAGCGTGCTTGGCATATTCAAGAAACAGCAAGAAGGCCCATGTGGCTAGGGGAGCTTGGGGAGATGAGATCAGAGAGGTAGGGAGACCAGATCACTTGTTATAATCCTTAGTAGGTTTTGAACAGATCATTTTTGCTTCTGTGTTAAGAACAGACTGTAGAGGGGCAAGGGAGGAAACAGACACCATGCAGGAGGCTACCCCAAATAGTCCAAGCAAAAGACAATGGTGGCTCTGACTAGGGTACCAAGTTTCTTTATGGGATGATGAGAATGTTCTAAAATTAGATTATGATAATAGTCACACAACTCTGTAAATATACTAAAAAACTTTAAATGGGTAAACTTTATGGTATGTAAATTATATCTCAATAAAGCTGTTTAAAAAAAAGAAATGGGAAAATGGGTCTGTCCAAGGAAAAAACAAAATAATTGACAAACGATACTGAGAGCTTAGCTGAGATCGGATAACATAAATCTGCAGTGGTATCCTTTTGCATAATTGTATGGTTTCTTCCAGCATAGTTACTGCTCAGTGGATGCAGTATAAAGGCAACGATGTAAGGAAATTCAGGGTGTTCCTGAGATAGAAGTTCAGGTGATCAACCAATGAGAGGCCTCAGAAGAACACAACCTGGCCAGCACCTTGATCTTGGACTTTTAGACTCCAGAACAGTGAGAAAATAAGTTTCTGTTTTTTAAGCCACCCAGTCTGTGGTATTTTGCTGTGGCAGTCCTAACAGACTAATGCACCATCATAGTATAAAACTACTAAAAATGTCAACTGTGAAGAAAAGGGCTAGCTGCAGGCCTACAACCCATTCCCTCTCTACCAGGAATCAAGACCTCAATCAAATTTTCATTTTATTTATTTTGGCTGTGCCACGCAGCTTGCGGGGATCTTAGTTCCCTGACCAGGGATCAAAAACGGGTCCCCTGCAGTGGAAGCTTGGAGTCCTAACCACTGGACCTCCAGGGAATTCCCCAAATTTCCATTTTAAAAGTGCTAATAATATTTACTAGCGGAAAGAAAATGAAAAATTCTTCTCTCTCAAAAGCTTGTAGCAAGACGCACTTGGTCTATAGAGATGGCTTATTGTAAAACCTGGAATTTATGAATTTATGAGGCATGGTTGGCTGGAGAATGAGGCTCATCATTTAAATTGTGTAATTAATGAGGTATAAAAAGAGGACGATGCAAAACCAAATGACTCCCTTTGTTTATACAATGTCTCTGAAAACACTGCCCAGAAGGAAACTGTCCTTTAATTTGGAATTCAAAATGCACCGTAATGAGGGAGAAAAAGGGCATTGTGGAGCTAAGCGTGGTAATGTTGGACTTCTCCAAGAGAAGACTGTTTCACCTGTGCCTAGTGATCGCCCTGTATCCTTTAAATCATTAATCAAATTTGGTATTGGCTACGATCTATGACTGATGAGTCTGATTTGACAAACTCTTTGGGTTAACCAAGACTTTGCATAGAAAAATTATTTTGCACTTCTTATTAACTCAGAAACATTCCTGTTTTAAGGTCTATCAATCCAATTTGATAAATGTATACTTCAGATAGAATAATTTGATAATATGAAGGATTAACAGTCATATAATTGAAATAATCTCATAAAGGGACATACATGAATTTATTTGAAACTTTATTATATAAATTTTCATTTCTTTTAAAGATTACAAAACCTGTTCTGTGACAGGAATACAAGCAATATTGTTCCAGGATTATTCATGGATACATCTGAAAGAGCTTTGATTACACATTAATAGTATGATTTGAAAACTTCCCAGATTAGACTCTTAAGTAAAACAATTTAAAGTATTCAGTGATATTTAATCCTTTACAAGCATTTCGTAATTATGGCAGCAGGGCCAAGCATCTGATGCGATTTAACCACCAATAAAAGGTACAATACATATGAACTCATGATATGGTGCCTTGGGCTTCTGGCATGCCTTACTAGAGAGAAACTAGTATAAAGTAAAATCATATATAATAGTAGAAAAATATTTGTGATTTTTTTCTTTTTTAAAAACTGTTTAAGTAGATACCCATCCCTTTCCCACCCATGGCCAAAAATGCAAAATAATTACATCCCTTAGGTGTATACCTTCCCTTTTGCTTAGGGTAAGAGTTAAGATAAACATAATACAGGTATGTAATTTTAAGAGTTAAAAACTCATCACCCATAATCATTAAGGATGCTAATGAATGGCAATACCTTGAAGCTTTTTTTAAAAATTAAAAAACAAAGCCTTAGATGGTAAACTACACTTAGAGAAACGCAAACCAAAACCTTTATCCTTATGCCCTTGCTTTGTATTTAAGTTCTATTTTAAGTACTTGTTTGAAAAACTCAGTATACAGTTCACTCAGTACTATAGTGATAATAGGAGTAAAGATTTTCACTTCCATTAGATATTGAACTAATCTACTCAGAGAGGACTATTATAGCGACTCTCTTCTCACATACGTTTACATACATTGTACTCAAATGGTATGTGCTCTAAAGAGGTTTTCTTGAGGTTTGCACCTCTGAACTTAGTCTCTAAATTTTCCTTTCCACTAATCTCTATTCAATGTCATATACTTTGCTAGTTGCTCTGGGAGAAGTCATGGACATTTAAACAGCTTATCATGCACTTCAAGGTTATATGGCAAAATAATGAGGAAAGTGCCTTAAGAGGTAGGAAGTAGGCTCTCATCCCAACCCTTGGTATGCCCTGGTATGAACAGTTAAAAGACTGGAATCAAAGTGGTAAATGTGAGACTGATAGTAATACAAGGCTTAAGAAAATTAAGTCGACTTAGTTACTAGAATTCTTTGCAAACAGTCACATTGGAACCAGTTACAAGTCACTCGATCACACAGAATACAGCAGTGTCAAAAATACATAAAGCGCACTGTAGATACAAATTCTTCTTGGCCATCCATATTTAGTTATTATCATTCTGTAGATTCTTCACTAGAAAAAGTGGTTAAGCGTGGCTCTGCAGAATACCACACTCCCAAGAAAGCGAGTTTCATTCCTTCATTAACTGGTCTCCACCAATGGTCACTTGGGGAGACCAGCAAAATGTAAGCAATCTGGAGGTGAAAAGAGGACTATTTTCATTAATTGAAATAAAAATGCTGAGTTAAGTCAACTTATCTGTGAATTAAATAAGGCTCAAAGTATACATCCAGTTTGTTAGTCACATGGAGTTGGACCTTTCGGAGGGACAGAACTCTAGGACTGGATTGAAACCTCCTGGTTTAAGCACCAAGGTCAGCCATGGAACTCCCCATCATATCTGTTCGTCACAGAAAGCAGACCTTTTCTGACCATTTACATTCCTGAGATATCTGTCCTAATGCCTTCATAAATCTCAAATGCTGGATACCACCGTAAGAGAGAATTCTCAATAGTAAAGAAGACTGAAAAATTTTAGCTCATTTATAAAGGCCAGGAAGTAGAGAAAATCAAAGCCATGTTGAAATGTGTATTGCTGACTTTCATGGTGATGCACATCTATACCAAGCCCCCAAATCTTGAACGCTTTTCTGCTCTCACCTGAGGCTGGACGTACCCCAGCCTCTTTCTTACCCAACCCATGCTGCCCATTCATGAAATCTTTCCTGGGCTGAGGGTACAGGGCACAGCTAACAGGCTAGCCCCACCTCCCAAGATGTCCCCTGGTCCCAACAGCAACCACTTCTTAAAAATAGTTGGGAAATGGTTGGCCCAAACCTGCTCTTTGCAGCCCACTGTGTGTGAAATGTAGAATCTCTACTGCATACACACCACACCCTCTCCAGATACTCACTAAGTGACTTTTCCCACACGTCAGTCTCCAGCCTCACAGCATCTTGATTCTGTGCCCTGTCAAAATTATTATATTTTTGGACTTTTGGGGTTGCTTGTGAATAAATGAATCCATATCAGATCTGTTAAAGTGAAGGGTCTATTGTACTTAAAAGACATATCTATAAATTAGGAGCTGAAATGACTTACTTATACGACAGCTTAAAAGGACAAAAAACTTACCTTAATTTAGCATCATCACTTGAAAGGGAAGCTAGAAAACACATGGTAGTGTGATCCATATTTTCCAGTACGTGCTTGGTAATGTTAAGTCTACCATTCTGGATATTATTGTGGATTATAAGCTAAGAGGAGGTTTGTAAAAGTGGCCTGATAGTTTAGTTCCTTCTTTCATATTGAAATATCTTTCAGATTGAAATAAAACCTCCTGGGAGAAGCCCTGGTAACCAGCAGGACTAACTGGGAAAGGGCCTCACTACCACAACTATAGGGGCCAGGAGGAACTGGACTTGGAGAAATTAATGGAAAGGTTATCCCAGCACAAGCATTACATTTAGAGCACACTGTTGGCCAAGTTTGTCTGCTCTGTCAAAGGCAATAGGAACACCAGAATCACAGATGAAATAAATTATACTCGTGAACTGCTTTTTAGGCAGAAAGCCTCCAGTTTTGTGAACATATAACTTGCTTTTCTCCAATAAAACTGGCAGCTGTACTAGGCAAAGAAGGCATTCATATACTAGTAGAGGACTGCCCCAGGAAATATATAGTTTTTGAACAGCTCAGTTTGTGGTCGAGTGATAATACGAGGGGAAGGCAGCACGGGGTTATGAGGGAAAAAAACTGAAAGGGAAGTTAAGGATTCTAGTCTTTGCTTTGGGTCTCAGGTTCTTTACCTGCAATATGAGAAAGTTGGACTAGATAATTTAAAAGCATTTACACATTTACTTCTGGTTCTAAAAGACGATGATGGGCAATACACCTAAGCACTTATGGAATAGTGTTAGTGTCAAAAATCTGAAAATGCTATCTTTTTTCTGCCTAGAGTTACATTAACATTTTAAAAGTGACAAAAATTTGGGATGACCATGGTTGGGAACACTTAATAGAGGAGAAAGAAAAACAAAGCTTTCTTTCCAGGCATTGGAAAGCAGCTGTTAATAGTCAGCATCCATATACTCAAGAATATTTAAAAACTTTCTCCATCTAGATCTTCTGAAATCCCTCCTCCTATACATTTTTTATTTAGAAGATAAACTTACATTTGCTTTCTATGCAATAATCATTTTGTGTCACTTGGGCAAAAGGCATGATAGATTTCCTCTTTCCCTTTAATTGCACAGAGGAGAAATTAAGGATTAATGAGCGGCTTCCAAGATATTTAGATAAACCATGCTTTCCTGGCTTTGTACTCTCAGGGGAAGATTTAAAGCTTCTGGCAGGAAAAAAAGAGTTCTGATGTAAATGACTTAGTACATGACTAGGAAAGATCTGTTCAGGCACATTCTTGATGAGATAAGTTAAATCACCTTTTCCTTGCTCATATGTTTTTCATATTACATATTGATGTATGCTAGGTAGCTTGGCAAAGATACAGGTAATAATGGATGCAGAAGTTTCTTTAATGATATTGTGGAAACTAACAAATTAGATGTAGATAATGAATACTCTAATCTAAGCAGATCCAGCGACCATTATGAAAAGTGATCATTTCTGAAGTTAAAGAAAGCATTATATGAAACTAACACAATACTGTAAATCAACTATACTCCAATAAAAATTAAAAAAAAAAGAAAAGAAAGCATTATATGGCTATAAATCATCAGGAGGAATTCAGAAAACACTCAATGCTGAACATTCACTTAGCCTACCTCAGCTATGATTGATCAAGAATGTTTTATTCTCTAGAATAAGAAAGTTTAAGTCCAATTTCATAGAGAGGCCTGTGGCCTTTATTACATTCAAATTAGTGTTTAATATAGAGCATCTTAATGGGATAGAATTATGATTTACTTTTTTTCCCCAAAAAAGCATACTTTTCCTGCAGGTATACAAGAACAGGTATCCTGTTATTCATATGCTAAATTCTGCAATTTGATCTATTTAAACATGAAATATTCAATGGGACTTCAATGACCTGTTGCTAAATTTTCCTTCGCCAGTCTCTTCACCATGCCTCTTAAAGGCCTTTGATGTATATTGGGAAAAATCCCAAATTTATGTCAACTACTAAGAATGGATACTATTTAAGATTAAAAGTGCAAGGACTACTTCCTTAATAAAGGAAAAAAGACCCTAAGGAGTTGCAAAGTATATGGACTAACTTCACAGGTGTACTCTTGATGTCATACCACACACATATGATAACTTTCTTTACCATAACAGCTCTCTAGGTTAGCCTGACAGAGCACCTGACTTTAAGAAACAAACGAACGAACCAGTGAAACAGACATGGGGAAAGATATGTACATTTTGGAAGTATTACATTCAACAGCTGTTCTACAATCTGGCCATTTTTAGGGCTGTCCAACAATACCGTTAATCCAGGTGAACTATTTAACCAGAATTCATAGTCAATTGATTAATAATAGATTCCAAGTTAAACAAGGCATGTATACATTAAAGAAAGCAGTACAGAAATGTACTGTATATGAACTGTTTACAAAAACTTACAAAATGTTGGATGGCACAAGGGATACAGTGCTAATATAAACGGATTGTTTAAGCTAAGTGCTTAACATAAACTGTCCATCCCTATAACTAACAAAGAATATTTAAGGGACATGAAATATCTCCTATAAAAATAATGCTATGTGGTGTAGAGTACTTTATTCAGTGTATTTTTAGGTGGTATTCATATGTTCATTATTCTTCTTGTTGATTCAGTGAATATATCTTCATCATGTTTCCATTTTCAATTCAGCCGAAGCTCCAGGAAAATCTAACCTGCTAACAATCATTTAAAGCGAGAAGAGACGAAAGCGGGAGAGCAGCAGGAGCAGCAGCATTATGGGTACCAGCTGGGACAGTGTGTGCCTGCAGGTGTCTCTCAGATATGTGCTACCTGTCGCCAGAACTTGTGCTATCAGCTTACACCATGGTACCAAATATCTCACTGAGGTCACTTCACAGGGCTGTAGAGGTGATTTTTTTAATACCTCTCCGCTGAGCAAGAGTAGAGCGGCCTACTGGTTCCAAAACTGGTGACTGATTACGGTTTAAAGCAGAGTATGTAGCTGCCATGGCACCCTGAAAACAGGAAAGAAAGGTCACAAATAATGACAATGGGTAGTCACCTGTACACAGAATATGAAATGATTTTTTCCCAGATATTTTCTTCATATGCAAATTTATATAGATTTTATTAGGCTCATAATGAAAATAACCACACAGGTCAAATCCTCTGATTTAACTAAAACTGAAGAGGCCAATGTGGGAGGTTGAAATTATCGATGAGAGAGGACACAGGTGGGCTCATAACAAGCAGTCCTTACTTTTCTCAGGACTATTAAATTTGTTTTTCCTTTGCAATCCTTTACCATGAGAGTCAGCACGGCATGCTGTTTTAGAATTTGTATTTTGCCACTGCTGACAACCTCCAAGAGTCTGCTTTGGGTTGTGCGTAAGAAAGACAGGTACAAAGAAAAGTTAGGAAATCCATAAAGTTTATCTGATTGATAAATTCAGAAATCATTCCTAAACTGGTTTTATTATGCTATTTTGGCATGCCTTGACTTTTTCTTTTCTAAATCACCCACTGTAAGAGATTCCCACGCAAGAACTGGATGCAGGTTGAGAGGCAAAGTGAAAGGGCAAGGTGCTGTGGTACGGAGAGGGCGTCTCATAATCTCTCCTGGAGGACATGTGGCACACAGTGCCCAAATGGGCTGCTCACCTTGACTAGATGCGGTGCGTCCTGTCTGTTTAGTTGGTATTGCGGCAGTTGGTCCCAGTGGACGATCCAAGGATGTCTGAGCACAAGGGCAGCAGTCAGTCTCTGATGAGGGTCCACATGAAGCATCTTTGACACCAGGTCCTACAATGGGAAAAAGAATAATAAAATAAACTTAAACCTTTGTTTTTCCATAGCACCTGATACTGTTGAGTATTCTTCCTTGGCTTCTATGACACTATTTTTTTCCCACTAGCAGACCTTTGGGTGCAAAGCAATTTAGTCAGTATGACAATTTGTTTAAAAAAAAGCAAAAACTTAGGTCTTTGTTTTCTCCTCCCTGAGTAACAGTAATTTTGGTGTATTACAAAGGGTAAATTTACCACATTTTATGTATCTTTAAGGACTTTGGCTCTTTTTTTCCCTCAGATATTCTGAGTTTTCTACATTTTTGTGGATTTATTTATAAGTAATTTTCAGCTACTTAAGACGTTTTTGTGCTATTGGTAATGCTGAAAAGCAGTACATAACTGTTCAATAACAGGAATTAACTTGAGGGCTCTAAATGCTCCCCTCAAAGATTACAGAGTTATTTTAATTTTTTTTCTACTTCCCAGTTTTGTGGGTATTCACCGTATTACATTATACTTGTAATCACAGGTCTTAACTGGACAAATTAGCAAACGTTATTAGTAATCACATGGCATTCATAAGATAGGCTGTGAGTTGGATGCAATTTTTTGTGCTCTATTTGTATCTCATCCTCACCTGCCTTGCACTCAAAAAAGCATAATAAAATGCAAGTGAATGAGAACCAAATTATAAAATTATAGAGATAACCTCGACTTGCTTTAACTTATTAAAAAAAGCAGGCAGTATGTAAACTCTGATACTTTCTACGGTAACATTACTTGATATGCTTGACAACCGATCGTGACAAAGTTTTTGGTGGACTCCAATGGATAAGAACTACTACTTCACAGAGTGACCTTGAAAAAGGAAAATCTGATCACTACAATGCTTAGTATTTTTCAACAGTTCCCCAATACTTAGAGTAAACTCCAAATCTTGAGCATGATCAACAAAGCCTTCCATAATTGGGGTTCATCGGCTACCCTCTCACGTGTACCTGGTACTAGTCATACCAAACTCCTTGCACTGCCCTGGAGGCATTCTGCCATTCCCATTCCATCAGGACCACGCATGGGCTGATCCCTCAGCCTGGGATGGACTACGTCCTTCTGCTTCCCAAAGCTGCGTGGCGAATCCCTTCATTGCTTCTGGAAAGCTTTCCCTGAAATTTTTCTGATCAAGCATCATCTGTGAACTTCTTTAGCATACAAAACAGAGCATTGTAATAGCACATGTGACACTGTACTGTATATTTCTGGCTATCTCCCAACTAGACTGTGAGCTCTCTGAGATCAGGAATTCCATCTGAGTCACATCTTTTATCCCTGGAGCCTTCACTTATTAAGCACATTGTAGGTGCTCAATACATGAATTAAAAAGTAAACAAGGGGCTTCCCTGGTGGCGCAGTGGTTGAGAGTCCGCCTGCCGATGCAGGGGACACGGGTTCGTGTCCCGGTCCGGGAAGATCCCACATGCCGCGGAGCGGCTGGGCCCGTGAGCCATGGCGACTGAACCTGCGCATCTGGAGCCTGTGCTCCGTAACGGGAGAGGCCACAACAGTGAGAGGCCTGCGTACCGCAATAAAAAAAAAAGTAAACAAGTACCCAGGAAAATGAATTATCTGGTTTAAAAAATTTTATTGTTAAACAAGGGGAAGGGCTAACCTATCACTTTAAATACAGTTACAAAACTAAGTATTATCTACACAGGCATTAAGCTGGTCAACTGAGGCTTCATCTCTATGCCAAAAGTATCTATAAAAATTTCTGACATACCCTATTTACTAATGCAATCACCTCAACTCAAGCACCCACCTCTAAGCAAAATGAGCCAGCACTTTTTACCAATATGTATCTTCCTCATCTCCTCTATGTTTTCCTTATTTTGAAATGAAAAACTTTGCTCTTCTTTTTAAAAAAGAATTTTCTCTAAATAAAGTGAAACTAAAAAAAAAAAAAAAAAGTGAAACTAGAGCAGGGTTAGAAAGCAAATCAGCGTTATTCAGGGGATGGCAGGTCTTCCAGCGAGAAAGGCTTTCCAAATAGATTTCAAGCAGACATATAAAACTAAATTACTGTCTACTGTGAAGAAGATTGACCCTTTTCTTCATAATATGGACCAAAAATAGAAAATGGTGTAGTTATTCTAGGGAACAAGGGCTTTGGAATCAGCTATTTATTTTTGAGCATCCACATGTGCCTGGTGTGTAACTGAGGATAAGTTCACACTAAAATTCTGGGCCTTGGTTTCCTACTGTGAAATGGTGATACTACCACCTATTTTACAGGGTTGTTAAGAGGATTAAATGGGATAATTTAGGTAAAGTGCAGTGTGAGGCACAGAGGAGACACACAAATCATGAAGACCACCACCATTATTATTCATCATGTTCATCAGTAAGAAGTAGTTTGAGATATATAGATAATAAAGCCAAACCAATATATTCTGGGAAAGAAACAAAATTAGTTGTCAATTTTTGAGTTTGAGTTATTTGGTAACATCATTTCAATACAACTTTATAAACAAGTTTCTAACTGATATTATTTTTTCTCACTAGGGATTATGAAAAATTATTTTCTCAAAAGCTTTTAATAGGAAGCCATACTTACCTTTGCTGTGTCTGAAACAGAATTCCAGTAGCCACCACTGAGTGAGAATTTTCCACTTCCTATCCGTGCCAATATTTCCTCTGGTGTATCATCAGGGCCATTTGCAAATGGAGTGTAACTAATTTATAATAGAATTAAAATGCTAATGAATAAAACTTCTTTTTTGGTTGGTAATTTTTATATTTATTTGCAGTAACCAAAAGTACTCTAAGTAGTTCATTTAATGTAATACTTTATTAAAACCTACTAAAGTAAAAAAATAACAACATGAAGCTTCATAAAGCACCAGGTCAAGATATAAGTTATGAAATATTAATTTAGATTTAATACACAATAATATAAATAAGATATGACACATTATAGAATAAAATATTTAAAAGAGTATATGGGGCTTCCCTGGTGGCGCAGTGGTTGGGGGTCCGCCTGCTGATGCAGGGGATGCGGGTTCGTGCCCTGGCCCGGGAGGATCCCACATGCCACGGAGCGGCTGGGCCCGTAAGCCATGGCCGCTGAGCCTGCCTGTCCGGAGCCTGTGCTCCGCAACGGGGGAGGCCACGGCAGTGAGAGGCCCGCGTACCGCAAAAAAACCCAAAAAAACAGTATATGTTTATGACATAACTAGACTACAAAAAAGATATGGAAAAAAATCAACTTATGACCTCAAGACATTAATAACACTACACTACAGAAAACAGTAATGATATAGCTATAAATATGAGAGAGAGAGAGGGAGATAGGATTGTATTATTAAACAAGATGAGAAAATATGGAAGGAAAGATATTACAACATAGAGGTTGAAAAAATAAACCTAGATAATTTAAACAAAATATTGATAAATAAATGCTTACAACATATGGTACATACTCACCCAGTGAGCATTGTATAGAGGAGGACACCAAGACTCCATATATCACAAGCCGCATCATAGCCTTGTCGTTTTAAAACCTAGAAAAAGTAAAAATTAGTATTAACACACTGCTGTTTATTATATAGATTTGGATAGGCTGTGAACTGAATTATATCTCCTAAATCAATGCACACAAGAAAAACAGAACATGATTAACAAACAAGGCAATATAGTAATCCTATTCTAGAACCTTCTACTACTAATAATTCATATATATAAATTTAATTTTTTTTTGGCATTTTAAATCTTTTTTTTAAAAGCTATTTTATTTTATTTATTTTATTTTTGGCTGCATTGGGTCTTCGTTGCTGCAAGCGGGCTTTTCTCTGGTTGCGGCGAGCGGGGGCTACTCTTTGTTGTGGTGTGCAGGCTTCTCATTGTGGTGGTTTCTCTTGTTGGGAGCACGGGCTCTAGGCGCGTGGGCTTCAGTAGTTGTGGTACACGGGGCTCAGTAGTTGTGGCTCGCGGGCTCTAGAGCTCAGGCTCGGTAGTTGTGGCGCACAGGCTTAGTTGCTCCGCGGCATGTGGGATCTTCCCGGACCAGGGCTCGAACCCATGTTCCCTGCATTGGCAGGCGAATTCCTAACCACTGTGTCACCAGGGAAGCCCCCGGCATTTTAAAGCTTAAAACTTTATTTCCTTCTCGGTGAACTAACAACTGCTTGGGACTCTGGCCATGGACCTATGTCAGACACGTTCATAGGTGAGAATTGTATAAATTTAAATTTTGATATTCAAATTAATTTACTGAATGCTGCTGTGGCACACAGTGGACTATAAAAATAAATTGAAGGTAAATTTCTTATTTAAATGTATTTATATTTTGTATGGGGCTGCAGAAACGATTAACATAAAACAATTAAGAAAACATATAACTAAGTATAAATGGTATAGTGCAAAACTGTTCTTTTATATATATATATAATTTGATTTACTCAAGCATTTAATAATCACCAACTATTATCAGGCATAAACTGTGACAAATACATTGTGACCACCTAGAGGGGTGGGACAGGGAGGGTGGGAGGGAGACGCAAGAGGGAGGAGATATGGGGATATATGTATATGTATAGCTGATTCACTTTGTTATAAAGCAGAAACTAACAAACCATGGTAAAGCAATTATACTCCAATAAGGAAAAAAAACTGTGACAAATACAAAACAATGGTTTTCCTTAAGAAAATCAGAATCTGGCAAAGGAAATAAACATATACATAGTTAACAATTCAACATGATAAGTATTCTAACAAAACTATATGTGTAAAGGATATGAGTACAAAGATGAGGAAGCAATTCATTCTTGATATGGGGAGAGAGGGAAAGCTAGGAGCAGCCTGCTTCTATTGGGCCCATAAGTAAGAATTCAGGAGGCAAAGTGAAGAGGTGGGGGAGGGCAGAGGACACTCAAAGGGCAGAGGCAAGAGAGCAGAGCCTGCTTAGTGCCAGGCCAAGTTCAGTGTGGCCAGATTTCCAGACAGGGGATACTAGAGAGACTGAAGGGCTTTTTAAATTATTTATTTATTTGGCTGCACCACACAGCTTGCGGGATCTTAGTTCCCCGACTAGGGATCAAACCTGGGCCCCAGCAGTGAAAGTGCTGAGTCCTAACCACTGGACCGCTAGGGAGTTCACTGAAGAGCTTTTTATAAAAAGCTTGTTAAGTAATCTAGATTTTTTTCCCTGCAGGCAATCAGATGTTATTGAAGCATTAAAGAGGAAAATAAAATAAGTGGATGTGTATACCAGAAAGATAACTCAAGGCATAGAGGAAATGCTGGCAAGAAGAGAGAATGGAGACAGGCCACCTCACAGGAGGCAATTTGTAAGGCAGGACATGAAGGGGAAGACATAAAGATAAAATGGGAAGGACTTAGTAAAGATTGGATGTATAGGGCTTCCCTGGTGGTGCAGTGGTTAAGAATCTGCCTGCCAATGCAGGGGACACGGGTTTGAGCCCTGGTCCAGGAAGATCCCACATGCCACGGAGCAACTAAGCCCATGTGCCACACCACAACTACCGAGCCTATGCTCTAGAGCCCGCGAGCCACAACTACTGAGCCCATGTGCCACAAATACTAAGCCTGCACTCTAGAGCCCATGCACAAGAGGAGCCACTGCAATGAGAAGCTCGTGCACCGCAACGAAGAGTAGCCCCCGCTCTCCACAACTAGAGAAAGCCCGCTTGCAGCAACGAAGGCCCAATGCAGCCAAAAATAAGTAAATAAAGTAAATTTTTTTAAAAAAGAAAAGCATTAAAAAATATATCTTACTGTATGTTATACGGCAAGATAAAATTTAAAAAAAAAGATTGGATGTATGGGGTAAGGGAAAAGGGGTCTACAATATTTAGGAATCAGAATGGAAAGGATTTGGCAACAGACTAAATGTGGAGAAATAACAGAGAAGGAAGATTTCAGGAGGACTTTAAAGTTTTAACCCAGATGACTAAATGGTAAAGAGGAGACAAAGAGTTAAAGAGGTCTAAGGACAGTATGATCACCGAAGACTTCCTGAAGGAGAATTTAGAGGCAGGGTCTAAAGCAAAAAACATTCCAAAAACCATTCCAGTGTGCCAAGGCATAAAAGCTACATGGTGATTTCAAGAAGCAGACTGCTTATATGAAGCAGGAAACAATCATGAGGAAAAATTAGATGGCTGGATTAGGGGGCCACGCTTGGACACCAATGTGTGTCAGAGGCTGTGGATATGTGGACAAAGAAGAAAAGAATCTGTCCCTCATCAGTTCTAGTATCTCTGGGAGAACAGACTCAAATAATCTTTAAAAAATATTTTTCTATCTAAAAAGTAACAAAATTACAAAAAGTTTGGAAAACAGAGGGGGGATCCAACTATCTTAACATTATCAACTATTACAATTTTTGTGAAATATCTAGCACATGGTAAAAGCATAGACTTTGCAGCCAGGTTGCCTGGACTCAGATCTAGATCTGACCACAGGCAAATGACATCACCCCCTCACTGTGCACCTGGTTTCCTATAAAATGCAAATAAAAGTACTCACCTCACATAAGTTATAATGAGAATGAATTATTATATATAAATTATATCTCTGAGGATGAAATCCGTTAATACATGTGACTGGCACATAAGCCCTATATTAGGATTAACTATTGTAGTTACAATTTTTTACACAGTGATAATCAAAAGGCAAGAAATTTTGAGGGCAAAGCAGTGGATTTTAGAGTTGCTACAGTGGGGAACTGCAATTTCTTAGGAAAAGAAGCAACCTGATCAAAGCAGTGCTTGAAGAAGACTTCAGCAGCTTTGTAGCTTCTTTGTGGACTGATCACAGAACGACAAAAGGAAGCAACGCGCACCTAGGCTGCGGCAGTCATCTGGGGGTGTGGTGAGGGAAGCAGGGGCTAGGATGGCAGTTCTGTGAACAGAAGAGCCCCGAACCGGTTGCAGGGGATAAAAGAGATGGTACCTGGTTATACAGCTAAAGACAAGAAGAGCCCATGGTGTTTTAGCCTTAGAAATACAAGGAAGATGGTGACAAAACCAGGAAATTCGAAGGGTGTTAGGAAAGGGGAAGAATAAGCTAGTTTCCATTTAACTCCATGCACTGACAAGCACGGAAGTGTCAGTGATAGTAGTTAGCTATGGATGTGTGATTATGCAGAAAGACAGAAGTCAGAGCGGGAAAAGCATTATAGGTAGTACTGGATTGATGACAGGATGAACTACCAACAGAAGAAAAAGGGCTGACATTTTATTCTAATTATTTGCTCAGTAACTAACTCTTCAATTAAACAACTATTAACTATTCTATATTAAACACAGTAAATGAGTTTTTAAATATACTGAAATATTGCAAGCAAACTCTTTCGCAATTACCTCTGGTGCAACAAAATTTGCAGTATAACAAGGAGTCATGAGAAGACCATTTTCTGCTCTTAGCTGTTTGGCAAAGCCAAAATCACAAATTCGAATAGATTCTGGATTGCCAGATTCATCCACATAAAGAATGTTGCTAGGTTTCAAGTCTCTGTGAACCACCTAATTGAAATACAAATTAAAGAGGTGCATTAACGATACATTTCCATTATGGAAAATTATTTATTCACAAACTGTCAAGCAATGCACTTAACAAGATGATGGGTACCAACCTTTACATTATCCCAACATTATAAAATGCTGACAGTGTAATATAACTGCAACACAGAACTGGGGCAAGGAGAGGAGGAAGAAAGAACAGTACTTACCTTCCCCCTCTTTGTCCAATTAAGTAAGCGGATTAAGGAAAAATGCAAATAGCAGTAATATCTGTCTCCAGGTTATTCATCGTTCAACAAATATTTATGGAATGTGTATCATGTACCAGGGTATTATACAAGGAGCTGCAGATACTTTGGTGAACAAGACCTGTAAGATCCTTGCCTTTATATGCTAGGAACTTAGTAGTAAGGGAGGCAGAGAATAAATAGGTGAGAGATGGGGCATAACTCGGGCGGGTCAGGAAGGGTCTCTAGAGGAGGTAACAACTGATCCAACATCTGAAGAACAGAATGAACAAGCCAGAAGAGTGGGGGTAGTCATTCTAAGTAGAGGGAATGGCGTGTACAAGGGATGAATACAACAAACATATACAGACAGGCTCAATGGAACAGGCATGGGTTTTAGGAGGAAAAAGGAAAAAAAACTCCCAGATTTACGTAAGTACTGCCTACTTGATATCCAAGTAACAAAGTCACAAACACAAAAAGATACCATTCCTTTAGAGTTTGTATTACTTTCCCCCTTTAATCACCTACTTGAATACTTCTTTTATCATAAGCCTCTCTGACACTCCTTATTAGACTTATGTGTTTCCTCCATCACCAAATTCTGAGTCTATGTTCTAATCAATAACCTCAGTTTTAGGTCCTAACATCCGGAACACTATTTCTCCAGAACATTTTAATAACTAATTACTGCTGAGGCACTGAGAAAAGAACATAGAAGAGTTAGATGACTGCAAACTCACAAATTCTTCAGTGAAAACTGAGTTCTACCAATTTCCAATCCCAGTACTAGGCAAATCTTGAGCAGCTACAAGTCAAGAAGCTCTAGAATTAAATTAACACATTTCATTTGTTAGCTTCTAGGGGCAAAGAAAACGAGAATAACGTACTGAAAATAAACTCCTTAAGAAGAGATCTCTTATTCTTTTCTTGCTTCCCATTCCTCTTCACTCCTCTGCTGTCCTCCTTTCCTTCCTCCCCTCATCTCTCCTTTGTTCCCCTTCCCTCCCAGACTTCTCTTCTTTTAAAAATATGATTTTTTTTTTTTGCCACTTACTAAAAATCTATATGCAGGAAGAAAGGAGGAAAGCATCCACCATCCAGAAACCAGGTGGCTATTTGGCCTCATCTGTTTGAAGGATTTCCTTTTATAAGTGAATACAACCCATGACTCTCTGGTTCACTTCTAAACTCGAAATGGGCCCAGTTCTCAAAAGTACACAGTGGCCTAGCAAAAACGGTGCTACATCTTCCAGGTCACAAACTCTCACTCACTTCTTGGGAAGCATAAAAATTTAATGTTTATAAACAAGCTAAAATTTCAAAGTAGAACTTCAAGCTCATGACATGTACACACTGCTATATTTAAAATGGATAACCAACAAGGAAGGACCTACTATATAACACAGGGAACTCTGCTCAGTATTATATAACAACCTAAATGGGAAAAAAATTTGAAAAAGAACAGATACATTTATATGTATAACTGAATCACTTTGCTGTACACCTGAAACTCTCACAACATTGTTAATCAACTATACTCCAATATAAAATAAAAAGTTAAAAAATTAAATTAAATTAAAAAAAGAAGGAAACAAAAAAGAATTTCAAGCTCAATGGGAGAAGTCTACATAGAGGAAGAACAGTAGGATAATTAAGCTAATATATTTTTCATTACAGGCATAAACTAACTTCTACCTTTGTAATTTCAGCTCAAACATTAAGAAAGAAAAGGTAAGAAAAAGAGTATTTGGTATTTTATACCAAATTTTATAAGATATTATACATATATGTGTGTGTGTGTGTGTGTGTGTGTATATGTAAAACGTTAAAAAGACTTACCCCTTGTGCGTGAAGATATTCAACAGTTTTGGTTATAGTAAACAGGACAGCACTGGCCTCTCGTTCAGAGAAAAATTTCTGTCTAAGTATTTTATCCAGCAATTCACCCCCTTTCATAAGTTCTGTCACTACATACACATATTTTCCATCATCATATACCTGTAACATTTAACAGCAAAATGTAAAAAATTATGTGAAGCTTTACATGTGCTCAGCACACAGTTTGGCATAGTAAAAGAGAAATTAAAACTCACTTTATATACAAGGAAAATTTTACTTATCACAACCAATGAAGGATATAAAATTTGCAAACAATTTTATACACATAAAGATATTAAAATAGGAATTGATGAGACTGAATGTCAGAAAAATAACCTTTAGTTTCCTTCCGTGAACCTTAACTCATGGCAATCAAAATAAGTATGGGTATGGTATCCGAAGGGGCACTGAACTTCTGCTCTTAGGGTGTGTTCCTCTTGATCTTTCTACCTACTAATGATGAGAGGGACTGGTAGAAAGACATGCTGCTGTGATTTTCCTGGAACTTCTGCAACTGCAGAACTTCTGTATTTATACATACAGTACAAAGAATTATTCTGGTTTTGATTAAATCGAAAGACAAGCTGTGGCAAGAACTAAGTAGGAAGATTAAGTAGCAAAGAGAAATTCCATTCAACCACGCAGAAGCATACCAATTTACTCCTAATGTCGAAAAAGAAAGCTCACTGTAATTTTGGATTTGTACTCTAGGCACTCCCAAACTGAAATAACCCTCTCCTTAAACTTCAGGCCCTTTTATTCCCCTCTTCTCAAAGAGTTACTGCACACCTTTGCTTAGCTCCCTAACAGGTACCATGTATTAGGGCCCCAAATATGGAGAAAACAAGGTACCTGCCCTCAAAGTTTTTATTCTAGTAGGGAGAAACAGACATAGAAATAAGAGTTTAAAAAAATGTTGGAGATGCTGTAACAAAAGTGGGGATAATTTTAGAGACTTTGGAATTTGAAATGAAGGAAGGAGCAAAGATGTAAAAAATAGCAACAGCTTAGGGAGTTCCCCAGGCAAGGCTGAGAGAAAGTGTTTTCTACATTTCCTTTTTAATTTACTTGGCTGGATTCTTGGAGGTTATATTAATTAAAGAGTCACTTAAGTGAAATATTTAATGGGACTAAGTTAACATTCTCCTCTAACAATGAACAGTGATAAATTATTCTGAGGAAATTAGAGTTTCAGTTAGGAAGGAGAAGGGAGGATAAACGTTGGTATTCACAGAACCTCAGAGGTGAAAGCTACCTTAGGAGTCCTCTGGCTTAGCTGGCTACATGACACTTCTGGTCTACAATACCCAGACACGGCCTTTCAGCCTATGTGGGCACCATGAGCAAGAGAGGACTTAATGCTGCCTGAGGAGTTCGCACCCTTTGCCAACACCTCTGTTACGATGAAAGCTATAAGTAGCAGGGAAAGGAAACTTCACTTGTCTGGGGGGTGGTGATGGGCAGGGCAGGATTCCTGAAGGAAGTAATGCCTTAGCCAAGTCTTAGTTGTGTGGTAGTTAGCCAGGCAAAAAAGGGAAATGGCATTCTCAATTGAGTGAATCATAAATTCAAAGACAGAGCAGCAGAAGAAAACGAGGTATGTTAAGAAAAATTTGTACATACTTGAGCATGGCTGGAGCATAGGGTGTGTGAGGAAGTGTGAAAACTACTACAGATGGAGGAATGCAGGGACCAGAGGTGATGGGGAACATGAACTGTAGGCAGGGAAGTAACATGGTTAGATAGAAGGGACAGCTCTCTCTGGCAGTACTGTGGAAGACAGTTTGGGGAGCCTATGGAGCCTGAGACTTGTCAATCCTGAACATAATTAATACCCAAGTGTTCCAGTAAATACTGATATTAAAAGCAATAATGTGATACTTTTTTTTCTTAAAGGCAGAAAAATTAAACATTTTTCTCTATAACTGGAATTATGCTATATATGTTGGCCTCTAATTTATTTTTTTTACTCACTATATCGAATTCTTTGTCTACCACATGATATGTGAAAACATTCCAAGTATGAGTTAGACAACTGAGTCAAATGATCTACGTTAAAGAATCTACTTACATCCTTTAGAGTAATAATGTTTGGATGTTGTCCATAACGAAGAAGAATTTCAATTTCTTCTGTAGGGTCTCTCTTGCTTTTATCAATAATCTAAAAGGCAAATATTTATCATAAAATCTCATGAACTATACAGTATAAACGTTAAGTATTTACAGCTACAGGCTTAGGTGTTATTTTGGGTAAACACTGTATTTATAAGCCATTTATCAACCATTTTTATTCAAGTACCTGGCCAGACTGTCTAATCAAAATTTGAAAGCCAGTCTTGATATAGATGGCAAGGCTGTAAAGTAAACTCTACGCCATGAGTCACATTCAAACCAGGTCTGTCTAGTTTAAGTTTTTAGCAAGTTTAGGATTTAATAAAAACTCAAGAGCCTCAAGAAAAGGTACCAAGAACACAGTTAACATATCTTTCTTCCAGCCTTCAATGTCTTACACCTTTGGGAACGCAGTTAACTTTAAAAAAAAAACAAAAATAAGATTTATTTATTTGTTTATGTTTGGCTGTGTTGGGTCTTCGTTGCTGTGCGTGGGCTTTCTCTAGGCGGCAAGTGGGGGCTACTCTTCATTGTGGTGCGTGGGCTTCTCATTGCGGTGGCCTCTCGTTGCGGAGCACGGGCTTCAGTAGTTGTGGCACGTGGGCTTCAGTAGTTGCGGCTAACAGGATCTAGAGCGCAGGCTCAGTAGTTGTGGCACACGGGCTTAGTTGCTCTGCAGCACGTGGGATCTTCCTGGACCCGGGCTCAAACCCGTGTCCCCTGCATTGGCAGGCGGATTCTTAACCACTGCACCACCAGGGAAGCCCTCAGTTAACTTCTAACCCCTATCAATACAGATAATTAAGAGCAAGATGTATTTATAATATCACCGTTAGCATTTGTTTATTGAATTTACTTTCTTTAATAAAATGCTTCAATGGAATATCCCATCAGTTGTAAGCTACTTATAAAAAATTAATAGTTATGTAGAACAAACTTTATTTTTGAAGCTAGGCAGAAAGCTAAGCAGAATACCATACCTAGAATTCTACTTGGCTAGAATGAAGTTTAATTATTACAATAAAGCCCTTTAAAATACTAATTTAGCTTTCCAACTCTTTTATGTCACCTGCTTCTTAAAAATACTTCTCTTAACGTTTTCATCTGTTAAAGTAACATTACATTTTTAAAAAGGCAACAAGGACTTCCCTGGTGGCACAGTGGTTAAGAATCTGCCTGCCAGTGCAGGGGACACGGGTTCGATCCCTGGTCCAAGAAGATCCCACAAGCCGCAGAGCAACTAAGCCCGTGCGCTACAACTACTGAGACTGCACTCTAGAGCCTGCGAGCCACAACTACTGAAGCCTGCGTGCTCTGGGGCCCATATGCCGCAACTGCTGAAGCTCGCACGCCTAGAGCCCATGCTTTGCAACAAGAGAAGCCACTGCATTGAGAAGCCCACACACCGCAACGAAGAGTAGCCCCCGCTCGCTGCAACTAGAGAAAGCCTGTGCAGCAACGAAGACCCAATGCAGCCCCCCCCAAAAAAAAAAACTGAAAAGAAAAAAGAAAAGGCAACAAGTTTTCCTTTCCTTTCATCCAAAATGTAGTCTGAAATAAATTTTGTGACCTTCATACTTTCAGTTTTAAAACAGCTTAGTAATTATGTATGCAATAAATACCCAAACGCTTCAGCATCCTAGGAAAGAGCTTGCAACTCTCAATATGAGCCAAATCTGCTATCTGAAATGGATTTAGTTGTGAAAACAGTTCTTTATTTGGAGAACAGGTAAGTCAAACATACAGGCGTCCACTGTGATCAACTGCAAATGATAGTGTAGAATCAGGCAAATGGATGATTAAGAAGAAAGGTCCATGGAATAGACATGCTGACTCAAGGGAGATGATTTGGGGTTAGTCTTTTGAAAACCAGAACACATTGGGAGGTTTTATTTTATTTTTAAAAATTTATTATTTACTTATTTTTTGGCTGCATCACATGGCTTGTGGGATCTTAGTTCCTGGACCAGGGATTGAACCCGTGCTCCCTGCAGTGGAAGCGTGGCATCCTAACCACTGGACCACCAGAGAATTGGGGAGGTTTTATTTTGGGCAACATTCTCTCTGATCTGCTAATCTTGAGCCCAGCTTACATTATATCCATAACTCTGCTTGTGAATCTTAGATATGTAGTAATTTCAGTAGAATCAAGTGCTGGGATTGGTTTTAGGGATGTAATTTAAGTCACAAGAATCCACATATAGCTGGAGGATGTTCTCAAGGTTTTGGTATACTGCTCCTGGTTTCTATAATTTGAAGGGGGCCTCAGGACACTTCTGCTTTTTTCTGATGTGTTTATGGAGGCAAGATACATTCTTAGACTGCCTACCAAGTACATTATTCACATTCTCTCCTTTCATGTGTGCAGTTTGAAAATTTCTATGTACCCCACATTTCACTGAGTAGAAGAGCAAATTAAAATGTATTTCTATGGTTCATCCTTATAACTGACAGAATGCCTTACAGACACTGATGACTTTTTAGAACAATTACATCCAAGTTTAAGATAGCGGCAACCATTTTTGGGTGTGTCCTCCCAGATATTTGCTATGCATAAATAAAGCACATTTATTTTTACTTTTACACAGTAAAATCATATTAGATCTAGATAAATGGACAGACTGGTGGAAGGATAGAAGTAATAATAATTAATGCCACTTTCCCCACTAACTAAACACGAGCTACCCATAGTTATAGACTAGTTCTAAGGCTCAAATTAAGTTGAAAGCTTTAGACATTACTTGAATTGTTTGTGATGGGAGAGCAGAGGCATCCAACTCAAGAAGTGAAAAGGCAGAAACTTGAATATAGTATTTGTTCACTTATAACTAAAGGTTTGGACTCGAACTTTATTATAGAGGTATGTGCCTTGGTTTTTGGCTTAGGAAATCTTTACTGTCTTAGGATGCTTGACGAACTTAAAACAGCTAATGATAATATATTTTATGACAGTGGTTCTTATTCTTTTATTGGTTCACAGATCCTTCTAAATGTGAAAGGTGGTATGAACATTTTTGCCATAAAAATGTAAACATACAAAATTTGGCATATAATTCCGAGGAACTCCCTGACATCTTGACCATAAACGGGGGACTTCTGAGAGTACACGGGGTGCTACTAAAAACCAGGTCAGGTGTAAAGTGGTACTGCCCTCCGCAAACTGGATGTATGCTGCCTTACCTTTTGAGCTCATAGGAGGATCTATGGTTCCAGATTAAGATCCCTGAAGATCACTAGCCAGACATTTATATCACCTTACCTTTTTATAACAAAAGGCACACTTACCAAAGAAGACTGTAATTTTTAACTGGTACTAGCATGCATGAATAAGAACTGTTAGAGGTGCATTTGAAATCTAAAAACACTTACCTTCACTGCAAACTCCATGTTTGTGGCTTTATGTATACATCTCTTGCAAACGGAGTAGGAGCCAACCCCAATATCTTCTTTTACTTCATATCCATCAGTAAACTGAATACTGTTCCTGTGTAACTGCTACAAACACAATTATAAATTGATGAAGAGCCCTGTAATGACTTTGGTACATTACATAATAGGGAAACATGTTACTCAGCATGCACTGTTGGCCTTAACTATAAATATAAATGAATTTAGTAAAAATAAAAATGAATTTTTCTGCATATATTCTTCTACAACTGTGCATTTCTGAAGTGTCTACGATACAATGCACAGCAAGAAATATGCCTTTAAAAAAAGCTTATGTTGAAAAGAAAAAACTGAATATGTACAACAAGAAACACAGAGCTACGTGATAAGGGGCCGACAGCCTTGCCAGTGGTTATGCCCCATTCTACTCCCCAAACGGCTATAGGTCTTTGAAATACCTTTGCAAACGGGGAGACATTTGAAACCTCTGGTATAGAAGAAAAGATTTAGGAGGATTCAGAATTAGAACATCTGGATTCGTCTCTCCGATGCACCGCACAGAAATCATAAACATACATTCTATAGAATTCATCACATGCTTGTCATAGTAAAAGGGACAGACTATTTCAACATGAACTTTGTTCAAAAAACAGTGCTTAAATTGGTTTTCTAGAAAGTGGAAAGCAAGATAACTGACTTGTGAAAAAAACTTTAGCGCAAAAGCAACTTAATCATCAAGCAAATTCAAGCACTAAGTATACCCTAAAAACAATTCAGTGCTTCAAAAGATGTATCTAGTTCCCTCTATGATTAAGAAGATGAATTAAATTTATCTTTCCATGATACTACGATGGGAAGAAATAAATCTAATGGTTTGTACTATTTGTGTTCCTCTAATAACATTTAATTTAGCAGTGCAGTCGCCTGCTACAAACACACACACTCAGAAACCTGCTTCTGTAGCTCCTTTTTCTCCCACTCTGATCAACAGATGGGATAAGGAGGGAGGTACCCTAAGGCAGTATCCATAACCATTTCTTCCTAATGACAATGGGGCTCCAAAAGAACAAGGACACAAAACTTGGAAAACTTAAAATTTAAGTTTATTTTTATTTCTTATATATTTCTATGGCAGAGGTTGGCAAACTATGGCCTGTGGGCCAAATCTGGTTCACTACCAGTTTTTGCTAAACAAAGTTTTATTGGCACACAGCCATGTTCATTCATTTACATACAATCTATGACTGCTTTTGTGCTACAATGGCAGAGTTGAGTAGTCGCAACAGAGATCCATATAGCCTACGAAGCCTCAAATATTTATTATCTGGTCCTTAGAGAAAAAGTCCACTGACCCCTGTTCGAAAGTATCAGTGAACTAGGAGACCTCAGCTCACCACAGCTGATCTAACAGAGACAGAGGATGAAACAAATTAGGCCCAATAAACATTCTAAGGCACAGGAGACGAGAGACAACAAGATGGTGATACTTATCTCAACTCTCTTAGAATTCTACTTTCAAGTCAGATAGGTATCCAGGATTCTGGCGCATGCAACCTTTTCAAAGGTATATGAAAGGAGTTTCTAAGAGTAATGTCAATGATATAAAATGTATTTTAAGCTGCTCACTTAAGGTCAGCAGATCAAATCTAACATAATTATCCACACGACGAACTGTATCTTACAACACTTCAAATTTAAAATTACTTAGACATTCACTCACCTGAACAATTGAGTGCACACCAACTGTCTGCATAGCTTGGCTTTCATCATCTGAGGTAATAGCAACAAAACTAAACCCCCGAAAAAGCTGATGTGCATTAGCACTAGGTGGAATGCCAGGTGAATCTGAAAAGAATAATAAATTACTAAGAAAGTAATTGCTTTGAAAGGTAATTAAGGGAAGAATTGTCAACATTATGAGCGTTCTCACTTATTCTGGAATTCCACTTCTCAGGTATCCAGTGTTTCCAGGATAACTAAGTAAGGCACTGTATCAGATCTGTCCTGATGGCTTATTGCCATCAAAACTCTAACATCCTAGTCCCTCAGAGCCCAGAAAATTGCTAATTCATTTGAAGAATATACTAAATTAATGAATTACTGGGTTAATATATTCTAAATTAGCACTGTCCCAAAGAATTTCCTGCAGTGATGGAAATTTTCTTTATCTGTGCTGCCCAATACAGTAGCCCCTAGCCACATGTAGCTACTGAGAATTTGAGATGTGGTTAGTGTGACTAAGAAACAAAATTTTTAATTTTAATTAATTTAAATTTAAACAGCCACATGTGGCTACTGGCTACCACATTGGACAGTGCAGCCCTAAATAATAACCTAACAATGCTATGGCTCCCGGTTAGGGGGAGACATAAGGTTGATCTGCAGATAATTTAGGAGAAAGGGATTTAGTCCAGTGGTCTCAACACATAATGTCAGAATCTAGAAATCTAAACTGAAGATAAAATTATTATACGTGTAAAAGATCAAATTTATATATATATATATATACATATATATATACACACACACACACTAGGACGATCACAGTACGTAGTCCTTAAAATGTTTTATGACATGACATGTATTGTTATTCAAATTATTTATGTGGAATCTACTGGCATTAACAAAAACAGAAAAATACTTTCACAATACAGTTAATGCTCACTAAAAAAGAAATAATACAAGTATAATAAATATGTTATTCATAAATATAAACATACAATTAGGCATACTAATATTTATAAACATACTATAAAGGCTAAAGGCAAGCAAAAAACAGGTAAATCTACTTAAACATCAACTCCACATAAAGTTCTCTTTTAATATCAGCTTGATATTCTCAGCAATATATATTGTTTAGTGAATTCTACATCAATGTGACAGTATTATACTGAAGACTTCTGCTAAGAGAACCTATCTGGGCAGAATATAATATAGAACTGCTCTATTCTAAGATTTTTCCTCTATCAGGACAAATTGTATTGAGAAAGCAAAGTAAAACATTACCATATATCATCAGTTCTATGCATATCACTGTCTATACATTTGATAAAATTCTGTTCATGTGTTAATCCAAATTTCTAAGGCTGCCTTACAAAAATAAACACCCATCAATGCTTAATATAGATTGTTAGACTTTTGGCTGTAAAGCTTTATAGCAAGGTTTGAATGATACACTCTATGGGAAATACACGCAAGTACATTTTCTATTTATTTGCTTGTCAATGATAAACCTGGGATCTGATACACCTAAATGAGAGAACATTAGAGTGAAAAACACCATTATGTATAATGCACACACTAATGAATGAAATACAACTTACCATTTCAAAGATCACTTCTCTAATAGTCACTGTTTGTGCAATTTTAGGATAAAGCCTGATACAGGATATGAATCATTTTGAAGTTATCACACCTCACATGAAGTTTAAGTTATGTTTGGGATTTGAACTTTGTAAGTACTTCCAGAATACCATATAATATTAGAATTTTAAAGGGCACTACTTATGCTGTAGTAGTTCATGTGAACATAGCTACAGGTAAATAAACGCACAACCAAATAATTTTTTCACACAAATTGTATGGAAGTTTAAGGTACAACGTAATTTGCTAAAAGATTTAACAAGGATCTTAACTTCTATAAAATGCTATAAAGGATTTACTAATGATCTAGTTATTACAGCAGGGGTAGTGTATGAAGGGAAAAAATGAGGACAGTATATAGAGTTATACTAGATAAGATTTTCTGATTGAACAAGAAAAAAATATATATTGTCTTATATTTGGGTTTTCACGTTTTCTCCTTACCTTTGGGAGTTTTCGCAGTAAACTCAGGATCAAAATAGAAAGTATCTTCAGGCCTGCCAGTTGCAGGTTTAAAAGGTGGATGAATTTCTCTTCTATACAGTTTCTGGAGGAAAAATAAGAGACTTAGACATGTGTTAATTATAAAAAAAATTTCAAGCAAGTTTTCATTCTATACTTACATTCCAGTCTATTGTTGAGAAAAATGAATGTCTTTTAATTTCTTCAACTCCATCTGGTCCTGCGCCTATCAAAAATTGACTAGTTTTGATTAAATGGTAATTTTATTTCAAGGATAAATATATTGTTTATTCAGTCTTCACTTTTAACATTTGTTCTACTATTTCATAATCCCACAACAAACACAAATATCCATCTCCCCCCTAGAAAACAAACACCAACAAACACACAAAAGAAACAAATTAATTAAAAATTTTACCTAATCTGTTTGCAGGATTTCGTTTGAAAAGCATTCGTAAAAGACTCTGGGCTTCAGGACTCAAAAACTGTGGCATCCCAAGTTTGGCTCTAAATAATAAATCCATATATTTTATGTTTTGGAGGTATCTGTATTTTATTTTTAAAATAAACTTTTAATTTTAAGATAATTATGGATTCAAAATCAGAAATAATACAGAGAGAGCCTACGTACCCTTTACCCAGTTTCCCCCAGTGGTAACACCTTACAAAACTATAGTGTGATATCACAACCAGGATACTGACATTGACACAATCCACTGATCTCATTCAGATATCTCCAATTTTCACTGCACTTATTTGTGTGTGTGTTTAGTTCTATGCCATCTTTTAAATTGAAGTATAGTTGATTTACAGTATTACATTAGTTTCAGGTGTACAGCATAGTGATTCAGTATTTTTGCAGATTATATTCCATTTTAGGTTATTATAAGATAACAGCCATAATTCCCTGTGTTATATTGTATATCCTGTTGCTTACTGATTTTATACATAGTGGTTTGTATCTGTTAATCCCACACCCCTAATTTGTCCCTCGCCCCCCCTTCCATCTCCCCTTCGGTAACCATACGTTTGTCCTCTGTATCTGTGAATGTTTCTGTTTTGCATATACATTCATTTGCATTATTTTTTGACTCCACATGTAAATGATATCATACAGTATTTGTCTTTCTCTGTCTCAGTTATCTCACTTAGCATAATGCCCTCAAGGTCCATCCACATTGCTGTAAATGGCAGAATTTCATTCTGTTTTATGGCTGAGTAATATTCCATTGTGTGTGTGTGTGTGTGTGTGTGTGTGTGTGTGTGTGTGTGTGCACGTGCGTATGCCAAATCTCCTTAATCCAATCATCTGTCAATGGGCACTTGGGGTGCTTCCATGTGCTGGCTATTGTAAATTGTGCTGCTATGAACACTGGGGTGCATGTATCTTTCTGAATTAGAGTTTTCCCATCAACAGTGTACAAGGGTTCCCCTTTCTCCACATACTCTCCAACATGTGTGCTTTTTTTTTGGCCACACCGCGCACCTTGCGGGATCTTAGTTCCCCAACCAGGGATTGAACCTGGGCCCTCGCAGTGAAAGTACGGAGCCCTAACCACTGGACCGCCAGGGAATTCCCATCCAACATGTGTTATCTGTAGACTTTTTTTTTTAAAACATCTTTATTGGAGCATAATTCCTTTACAATGTTGTGTTAGTTTCTGCTGTATAACGAAGTAAAAATATGGAATGCTTCACGAATTTGCATGTCATCCTTGTGCAGGGGCCATGCTAATCTTCTCTGTATCATTCCAATTTTAGTATATGCGCTGCCAAAGCGACCACTATTTGTAGACTTTTTGATGATAGCCATCCTGACAGCTGTGAGGTGAAGTTCTATGCCATTTTATTACATTTCTAAGTTCCTGTATCCACCACCACAGTAAAGGTACTGAACAGTTCAACACCACCAGAATCCCTCAAGTGGCTCCTTTATAACCACACCCAGCTCCCTCCCTCCCCAATTCCTAACCTCTGGCAACCACTAATGTATTCTCCATTTCTATAATTTTGTCATTTTAAGAATGCCATGTAAATGGAACCATATAGTATGTAACTTTTTTCATGCAGCATAATTCCCTTGAGATTCATCCAAGTTGTTGTATTAATAGTTCATTCCATTTATTTATTTATTTATCTATCTATCTATTATATTATTTATTTGGTTGCACCGGGTCTTAATTGCAGCACGTGGGCTCCTTAGTTGCTGCTCCAGGGCTCCTTAGTTGCAGCAGGTGGGGTCCTTAGTTGCGGCTCATAGGCTCCTTAGTTGTGGCTTGCTGGCTCCTTAGTTGCAGCACATGAACTCTTAGTTGTGGCATGCATGTGAGATCTAGTTCCCTGACCAGCGACTGAACCCGGGCCCCCTGAATTGGGAGCATGGAGTCCTATCCACCGCACCACCAGGGAAGTCCCAATAGTTCATTCATGTTTATTGCTAAGTAGTATTCCATGACAAGGATATTCCACAGATTATCCATTTATCTGTTGAGGGACATTTGGATTGTGTCCAGTTTGGGGCTACTATGAATAAAACTGCTATGAGTATTTGGGTCTAGGTTTTTGTGTGAACACAGAATGTTAGCCCCAAATCTTCTAATGAACTTCTTCATTTTTCAGAATTTGGTAAAAAGCACTACTGTAAAAGTAAGATCACCTGAGTCTTAGTTCTGGGTCTGTTACTAAGAACTTTGTGACCTTGGGAAAGCCAATCCCCTTGAGCCTGTTACCAGTTCTTCATGAGCAAGGGGATTGGATGTTAGATTAATGGCTGCCGAACTGTAGACTTGGAACCCTTTCTCAATAGGAATTTAAGAAATCCAACATTTAAAACATTTAAAAGAACATGTGCTTCACACACCTATTTTTTTCCTCCCGTTCCCTTTAATAGCCCTCCAGGGAAGGGGAGCTGGTGGGAAAGGGGTCTGTGGAACATCTAAGATGTCTGTGGCACACAGTCTGAAAACCACTGGCCTGGATGAGCTTGAAGGTCTGTTTCACTTCTAATATATAATTTTACTCTTTTTCTCAACCTACAAATTAAGGAAACCAATGATCCTGTAAGTATGAAAATAATAACAGAGCTGGAGAAAATGGCTAGCAGAGAAATTTCTATTTCAGAAATAGATCCATTTATTATTCAGTGAGTTGTTATTGAAGCTACTATGTGCTAGACACTGCTTAGGATACGGAGATAAAGACAGCCCCCCCCCCACAATCAGTGGGGAAGACAGATATAGATAATGCTAGTACATTAAGAGACAAATTCAGAAGGACACATGTAAAGAGTGCTAAGGGAACAGTAGGGAATATCTATTTTAACATGGGAGGTTGAAAAAGGCCTTAAATGCAATTTAAAGGTTGAGAATCTATTCGTTTGGCCAGTGTCCCCCAATATTTTACTAAATAATATTAATTTCCCTAGACACTTAGCAACAACAAAAAAATATTTCATGATCCAGTGAGTTTGTGGAATGCTATCTATTATACCCCTTGTTAGAGACATAAAAATAAAATACGTTGCATATAAAAGGCCGATAAATTTAGAGTAATGAAATCAGTATTTTTCTAAACATTTGTTTTTAGCACCTCTTCTTCAGAGAATACCTATTAACATCTTGTAGAATTAGCATTCTGTTGAACGACAGAAACGAGGGGAAACACTGCCGTATTTGGTAACAGGAATATAGCAGAGGTCTCTAAACAGTGGACTAACGGACCAGATTTATTTTCAAGAGGGAACTCCAAGGGAAGTATAGAATGATCTGGAGTAGGAAGCGGTGGTAGGCAGTGAGCAATCTACTTAGAAGCTCGGCCCTATAGTGTGGGTAGGAGATCACCATGGGTAGGAGATCTGAGAACTGTAAGCAGTGCAATGCAGAAGGAAGGCTGGGACAGTGAAATATTTCTGAGAGTGAATTTGGTGAATACCTTTGTATGCAAGAGAGGAAGAAGTCAAGAATGATTTCTAGGTTTCTGGCTTAGGAGATAGGGTACATGGAAAAGCTGTTAATTGGGAATACAAGAAGAGGAACAGAACAGCGAACAAAGATAAATTTAGTTTAAAAATGTTAAGTCATGCAGGTGAGTAAATGGAAATAAAGGTCTGGTGCCTGGTAAATTAAGGTAAGAAAGAGTGATTTGGGAGTAATTAAAATGTTCAATAGTTATTGGAAAGACTGATGTCAGTCAGGAAAGTGAGTCCAGGCGGGGAGAAAAGCATATCAGAGATGGAACACTGGGTAACGAGAACATTTAAAAGGTGGTCAGAAAAAGAACAATTTGGGCATTAAAAATAATGAATGCAATTGGCTGAATCACACTGATTATTAAATCCCATGACTTCGTTATAGTGAAAAAGGAAAAGGAAAAAGCCAAAACTAACATAAAAACCCAACTCATCGGACATCACCCCCACTGGGGCTCATCTTGTTTGAGCCTTATTTCAAGGTAACTAAATAGCCCTAGTTGATGAGGAAAAGCTCATTGTTTTGGAAAATACCAGCTAATAAGTGAAGGAATAACAGTAATAGAAAATACACAATTTAAAATCCCTAATAAAATAACTGTTTCAAGTAATGATTATCAGTGGATGAAACTATTAGATGAAAACCGGACAGGGAACTTTACAATGGAGGGATCAGCTGTAACCATGGGAATTCATCACTTAAAGTGGGGCAACATGGTGCTGTAAGCCTCCTGATGTGATGCAATAGGGTGCAAAAGCACGAGCTATGAAATAATGTTGCCAAAAAAGTTTAACCAAAAACAGGATAAAGTAACAAGTGAAAAAACATCACAAGGAGAATAAAAAAACTTCACACTCCTGGGAAAAGACTAATTATTATGTAACCATGGTAACAAGAGAGGCGCCAGAACCATTCAATTGATCAAAGACAACTTGCCTAGGTGAACAGAGTTTTTTGTTTTTGCAAACCAACGAATCAGTAACTGCTCTTCATCTGTGAAAATTAGCCAAATAAGAATGAACTGACGCCAATAACCACACCTGAGTGCCAAGAGTCCCACCCAAGTAACCATACTTACAGATGATGTCGATTCATTTTAGGCCCTGAAAACCTGCCAATTCTTGAACTCCACCCTTCCCCAAAACCCTATATAAGAACAATGGTCTACTCTGCTTGGAGAGATTCTACTGGACCAGCACCGCTTTCCCTACTATAGTAAGCAATACAATCACCTTTATGCTTTTTGTTTCAGATATTAAGAAGTGGTCTCATCTTTTAACAAGATAAATTCAGAAAGTGAAATTCTATAAAAGTGACATGGTTTCTACAAGTAAATGGCAGGGGAACAACAGGGGTACACTGTTCTAGATGAACAGAAGCTGAAGAAATACAACGAAAGGATATGTGCAGACTTGATTTGGGATACAGTTTTGGAGAAAACCTGAAAAATCTGGTTAAGGATTGGTATTAGATAACTATTACCAGTTTACATAAGAAAATATCCATACATTTTAGCAATGCAAACTGCAGTAGGTGAGAAATGACATGTCTGGAATGCTTAAACTATTTCAGTAAAGAAGAAAAAAAGAAAGGAGGAATAGACAAAGCAAATGTGGCAAAATCTTTATGACTGTTGAATGTGGGTGATTGGTATACGTATGTTCACTGTATTATTCTATTTTAGCGAATTTACCCTTGAAATTTTTCATAATTAAAAAGAGAAAAGCAGGCAGAGAAGGAATGGTCAAGCAAAAGAGACCAAAAGAGGAATGATTAGAGAGGTGGGAGAAGCAGATGAAAGTAGGAAAAATGAAGGGGGGAGGGGGTGGCCAGCAGTGTCAAATACTCCTCAGAGAGACCTTCCTTAAATGTCTCATCTAAAATGATTCCTGCCCCTGCCCCTTCCCTCAGACTTCAAAAGTACCCTGGTTTATTATCCCCACTGCTCCTGTTACTACGGGAAATTATTATATTTATTTGTTTAAATATTAATTCCTTGTCTCCCCCACTAGAATGCAAGCTCAGTGAGACCACAGAAGATCTTGTCACTCTTGTTCACATTGCATCCTAAGTACATATAGAAAGACCTCAATCATCTGTTGAATGAATTGCGTGAACAAATCATACAAAGAGTCACCTTTCTGACAATCTGCCACTAGTTTAAGCAACCAGGAAATTACTGATGACCATAGTGAGAGAATGGAGCCGCTCAATGGAGCAGTAGAAATGAACGACAAACAGGCTATGGGATAAAAGCAGCCAAAAAAAAAAAGTAAGAGAAAGCACAGACCACTCTTTAAAGAGGCTTTTTGTTGAAAGAATGCAGGAAGATGCTGCAGAAACTTGAAAGATAGGCCAAGTCAAAGAAATGGTTTGTTTCTCTCAACACTAAAGTGTGTCTATTAGCTGAAAGGAAGGGGCCAGAGTAGATGGAGTGATGAAGGTTCACTGAACATTCATTTGTATAGCAAATATTTTTCAATGTTTTTTATTGTGAAGAATAACATAAAGTGCAAAAAACAAAACCAAACCTCCCAAACCCAAAACCAAAGTACACAGCTCCATGATTGACCACAAAGTGAACAGTCATCTGGCCAAGAAATATAACATTGCCAGAACCCCTCATCCAATGTAACTACTTTCCTGATTTTGCCGCAGGCTTCTGCCATCTAAATAGGGACCCTAAAAACTATGCTTTAGTTTGTCTGCTTTTAAAACTTTATAAATAGGATCATCTGTGTAGTATTCATTCTTTTGTGTCTGAATTGCTTTTGCTCAACATTCTTGTGAGATTTACCCAAGTCATTGTATGTAACTGTGGTTTGTTCATTTTCTTTGCTGTATAGCACACTACACCCACGGGCAAAAGGCTTCAGCCTATTTTTGTATGGCTTTTGAGCTACAAATGGTTTTTACATTTTAAAAGTGCTAGAAGCAAATAATAAAAAATACAAATATGTGACAGAGACTGTGTGTGGCCTACAAAATCTAAAATATTTATAGTCAACCCCTGCTGTATTCCATTGTATGAATATACCACAATTTATTAGTCCATTCTTCTGTTAACAATCTAGTTTCTACCTTTTGGCTATTATAAATAATGCTGCTATAAATATCTGGGTACTTGTTTCTTGATGTGCAAGTACCTTGATGCATAAAAACTGGGTGCATGCCTAGGAACAGGATTACTGGATGAGGTTATACATGTATTTGACTTTAGAAGAAATGCCAAAAACTGCTTTCCAAAGAGGTTATATGAGTATTTACATTCCTTCCAGCTATGTATGAAAGCTGCCACTGCTCCACAGCCCGTCAGCACTTTGTATTGTCAGTCTTTGTACCCTTAGCTACTCTGGCGGGTATGTAGTTGTAGCTCACTGTGGTTTTAATTTGCATTTTCTGATTAATGAGGGCAAGCATCTTTTAATAAGCTTATTGGCCATAGGATATCCTCTTTTGTGAAGTCCCTACGTCTCTTCATGTTTCTACTGGGCTGTCTTTTTCTTATTGATTGACTGGAGTCCTTGACATCTTCTGGAAACAAGTCCTTTGTTGGTTATATGTTATAAATTTCTTCTATTTTTTCAATGGAATATTTTGATGAGAAGTTATTAATTTTAATGTAGTAATAATTTATCAATCTTTTCCTTTATGGCTCATGCTTTTTGTGTTGAAAGACTACTTTTTCTACACCAAGGTCATGAAGATTCCTCCTATATTCTCTTCTAGAATCTTTCTTCCCTTTTCCCATATATATGTTAAAATATATATATATATATATATATATGTAATATACTTGGAAATGATTTGTGTATGGTGTGAGGTAGTTTTATCTTTTTCTGTTTGAATATCATTTTTTCCAGCATGATTTACTAAAAAAGGTGCTATTTCCCTACTGCTCTGCAATTTCCAATGGTTGTAAATCGAGTGTCCATATATGTATAGGTCTGCTACTGGCCTCTCGAGTCCATTGCACAATTCTGTTTTCTATACTTGTTTTAATGCCATATTGTCCTAATTATAGTTATAGCAAGGCTTGATACTTGGTAAAGCAAGTCCTCCTATCTTGATATTCTTCAGGAGTGTTTTAGCTATTCTTGGTCCTTTGTATTATCATATAAGAACCAGTTTATTAAGTTCCACACAAAAAAATTGTTAGGATTTAAATATGATTTGCATTGAAACTACAGTTATGCTGTCCAATATGGTAGCCACTAGTCACATACAGCCACTGAGTACTTGAAATGTGGCTAGCTCAAACTGTAAGTGTAAAACCTGCAGTGAGTTTCAAATAAAAAAAATAATGTATCATGTCTCGATCATTTTTTAATGCTGATCACATGTTGAAATGATAATATCTTGGATATACTGGGTTAAATAAAATATATTACAGTTAATTTTAGTTGTTTCTTTTTACTTTTTTAATGTTGCTACTAGAAAATTTAAAATTATGTATGGGGTTCACATTATATTTTTTTATTGGATAACACACATCCTTTATAACACTTGGGTCTGTCATAATGTGAATATTGGAAGGTACAACCTTCCAAGTTACTTTGGTCTTTTAAAATTTCCTAGCATTTTCTAAGTTCTCTGCATAAAGTTCTTGCATAACTTCTGCTAGATTTATCCCTAGGTTTGATTTTTTTTTACTATTGTAAACAGTATCTTTTTAAAAAAATTCCATTTTCTGTTGCTAGTATACAGACATGAAATAGATTTTATTTATTGACCCTTTATCCAGCAACTTTGCCAAGCTCTCATTAATTCCAAGGATTTATATGAAGATTTGGATTTTCTATGGACACAATCATGTTAACTAAATAATGACAATTTTTTTTTGGCCGCGCCGTGGGGCTTGCGGGATCTTAGTTCCCTGACCAAGGATCGAACCCAGGCCCCTGGCAGTGGAAGCGTGGAGTCCTAACCACTGGACCACCAGGGAATTCCCAATAATGACAATTTTATTTCTGCTTTTTAAACCTTAAGCTGCACTTCTTTTGGATGCCTTACTTTACTTGCTAGTACCTCCAGGACAACGTAAACAGAAGTAGAATAATGGGCATCTTTTTCATATTCCAAATCTCAAAGGTAAACCTTTCAGTAGTAACATGAAGATAATTATGAGTATTCTAGATCTATGGGGTTTGCTCATATTTAAACCACGTAATATTGATGTCATAATATCAATGAATTTCTTAGTTATTTCTTATACTATAGCTAACACTCTAAAAATCTCATTTTTTAGTTTGAAGCATTTATTTTTAAATCTCATCAAAACACATCCACTAGGGAGTACTTACTTAAGAATCATAGTCATTGTTTCTTTTCGATCTTTTCCTTGGAAAGGTAGTGTACCAGTGAGCATCTCAAACTATAAAAAGGCGAAATAATCAGAGGTATTAGTCAGTAGGTATAAAATCTGAAGGCTAGAAGATAAAAAAGCATCATCTTAATTACAACCACATCTTCTAAAATTGCTATACAATAAAACAAGTGATTTATATTTCTACTATATTCACTAGTGAACTTCAAAAAAAAAAAAAACAAACAAAAAAACACCCCAAACCTTACCATTAACACACCGAAAGACCACCAGTCCGCACTCTGAGTATGACCTCGACGATTAACTACTTCTGGAGCCATGTATTCCACAGTTCCACAAAAAGAATACGCTTTCTTTTCATGGTCAATAGACTCTTTACTTAGGCCAAAATCTGCCAAAATAAATATCAAGTTCATAAATATCCTACAATAATTTGCACACGTAAAGTTTAAACTTTGAGTTCCAAAGTTTACATTAATAGTTCCAATATTTACATTAATTATTTAAAAATTCTAATTCAAGTTTTTAACACAATGTGTTACTTAATATTTATACCATGATCAACCTTAAAGGAAATTAATTATATAGAGTAGGAGAGACTATTTTAACAAAATGAGGATTTTTACCTGTTAACTTGATGTGACCTTCTTCATCAAGAAGTATGCTGAAAGAAAACAAAGTTAGAAAATCTTTTCAAACCATTAAAGAGAGATTTTTCGAAGTTAAAACTGAAATTACTCTGTTAAGTATCAGATCATCACATTCATTCCAAAATATTGCTTTAGACTCTGAATAAAAAGGCGAAGGTAAAGGAGGAGAAAAATTATTTTTTTGGACACACATACATAACGAATCCCAAAGGCAAAGCCTTATAACTTGTATTAATGAGCCAGGGACACTTGAGAACTATGAGGAAAGGAACCAAGACCTATATTCTAAGTTGCTCTTAGTGCCTTTCTGCAGAGGTGGCCTAAGTAAACTCCCTAGTGCTTGCACAATAGACAGAGGTCTGGATAGTTAAGTCAAAAGTGTTAGAGCTGTCATTTTACAGGCATCTGACTCAATCATTCTTTACTAGCTTTTTTTCTTTTTCTTTCTTTCTTTTTTTTTTTTTTTTTTTTTTTGGCTGTGCTGCGCAGTTTGCGGGATCTTAGTTCCCCAACCAGGGACTGAATCCAGGCCCCGGCAGTGAAAGCGATGAGTCCTAACCACTGGACCGCCAGGGAATTCCTTCCTAGCTTTTTTTCTGACACAACTTACACAATCCTCTTCTCCTCAACCCACCTTCCTCATACTCCTTGTTCTTCTTTGACCCATCACTACATTGTATATATTATCCAGTGTTTTCTCTCTTTTTCAGTAAACTGAGAGCTCCTTGAGACTTTGACCTTATTCATCTTGTAGCTCACTGTTTGGTAGAGCACAGATAAAGAAGAAATGTATATTGCATGAATGGGGCCAGTCTACAAAGAGCTGATAGAGCATTCCAAAGAGTTGGGATTTCTTCTTAAGGGCAATGAAGATCATAAAAGGTTTACATGAATGGAAGGTAAAGATAATCAGATCTGCAATTTTAGAAAACAATTTAGAAGGAAAAATAAAGAATAGTGTGCTCTTAGGTATGACTTATGATAAAGAACAACAACTGGAGAAGACACTCAAGTTTCTGGCTTTAGCAGATACTTGAGTGGAGAGTAAGGTCGTTAATTAAGGAGCTATAGAAAGGAGTAAGTACTAAGCTGTTAAGCCAGTTACTGCATTTCTGGATGGGTATTTGAGTATACTGACTTGAAAGGTCAAGTAATAAGGTCAACTATTTCACTCATATTCAAAACTATTCCATAATATAGGCATTTCCTTACTTTTAATACATTTAATTCCTTTTAATTCCTTACTTTATTTCCTTACTTTTAATTCTTTTAATTAACTAAAAAAATGTGCAAGCCAAATTTTGTTATAATAAAATTTTACTATGTAAAAATACTACCAACCTTCCTATATCATCAGTTCAACTATGATTACAATAATGTTTACCAGTGAGGGTAATTCAGTAGGGACACAGTGTTCAAGTCTCTTTCACTACAAAGGACTTGTTATGAAAAAAATACTGATCTTGATTATGCTTGACTAGAAAGCAGACCAACACATTTAGGGAATATAAAGGGAATTATTAGGTATGGTGGGAATCATCCTCCCTTCTGTCTAATCAATACCTGGAAGACAGTTCTAAAAACAAAACAAAACAAACCTCAAATCATTCTTGGTAGTTTTGAAAAAATTAAAAAAGAAAACATGGCTAAAAGGGAATTACTTATACTTCCTATAGCAAGTGCATTCTAAGATAACCATGCCCGTCCTTTATCTTTGAAAGAAAAAGTCAACTGTATTACTCTCAATAGCAAAGTTCCCTTTCAATTATTAATAATTATTTTTAGCCATATTTATTGTAACAGAGTTCTAGTTTAAAAGGATCTGGAAAACCCCTTATAGTGCGTAAAACAATTGGTCTAAAAATTTAAATTTCTCCTAAGCTCTACATGATGATATCACTTGGATCATTTAACAATTAAATGTTATTTCAGTTTAATAGTGTAGTCTAGACATTTACGTGAAAAATCTCACTATAAGCAATCTTACCCACATTAGATCTTATTTGATCTTTGAGACAGGATCCATGCTTTATATATAATTTTAAAACCAACATTAATACAATGGTCTACAATAAATACATTCAATTAAATGATATAAAACACGAACACATTTTTATTATGAATGTTTAATCTTATGTTCACAGTAAATTTTTCTTCTAAGGGCTATATGCTTGAATATTCATTCTCACTAGGAATTATATTTTATGTTGTGATAGTTAGAAATTGGGAAAATGATGAGAAAAACTCAGTCATTATCTGGGGAATAAAATCAGAACCATATGAAACTTATCCGAAAACAAAATACCTGAAAAAAACCGTAAAATATGAAAGTATAACAATTTCTAAATGATCACTTAACAGGATTCCAAAGGAGTATTTCCTTTGTTTCCCATTGTAATATATAATTTAAATTTTGCATGTAACATTTTAAGGTAAGTAATATCCAAATTCTTGATAAAGATGATAGTTACACAACTCTGAATATACTAAAAAACATCGACTTGTTTACTTTAGTTTTAATAGCTGGATATTAATATATCATATAGGTCCAAAGATCAGGACACAAAGATTTATGTACAGTATTTATTTAATAAAGTTTAAAACAAATGAAACCTATATTGTTTAAGAATGCATACTTAGGTGGTAGAACTATTTTTTTTAATTAAAAAAAATTTTTTTAGTATAATTAAAGGTTACTTTCCATTTACAGCTCTTCCCCAATATTGGCTATATTCCCTGTGTTGTACAATACATCCTTGAGCTTAACTTACACCCAATACTTTGTACCTTACCGCTTCCCCACCTCTATATTCCTGCCCCACCCCCCAGCAGCCACTAATTTTGTTCTTTTTTATGGCTGAGAAATATTCCATTGTATATTTATAACACATCTTTATCCATTCATCTGTTGGTGGACAGCTGGGTTGCTTCCACATCTTGGCAATTGTAAATAATGCTGCTATGAACATTGGGGTATGTGGACTATATCTCAAAAAAGCTATTTTTAAAAATTCTTGATAGAACAAGGCTCTTGTTTATATCCTTAAAAAAGGAGAAAAGAAAACCTTTCTTTCTCAAAGTGGTAGATAGTAAACACTAACAAATTAAAACACAGAAGTGTGTACAATTTAAATAATATTAGCTTCTTGATAACCACTACTATAAAAGTAAAGGGAAATTTGCTTAACTCTCATTAAAAATGTGAAATCATGTGGAGAAGAAAATTTTCAATAAATGGTATTTGGAGGAAACAATTAGCTCCATGCCATCCCTCATACCAAAAAATTTCTAGATGGAGTTAAAAGTAAAAAAAAAAAAGAAAGAAACCATAAAATTAGAAGAAAAAAATCTTATCATGAGAATTGGAAAAGCCCTTCGAAGAATAAAAGTCACAGAAGAAACCACAAAAGGAAAGACTGGTAGATCTGAGGGAAAAATACTTGTGTAGGTTAAAATAACACCAAATTAAAAAATAGGGACTTCCCTGGTGGCGCAGTGGTTAAGAATCCGCCTGCCAATGCAGGGGACATGGGTTCAATCCCTGGTCCAGGAAGATCCCACATGCTGCGAAGCAACTAAGTCTGTGTGCCACAACTACTGAGCCTGCGCTGTAGAGCCTGTGAGCCACAACTACTGAGCCCGAGTGCCACAACTACTGAAGCCCACACGCCTAGAGCCTGTGCTCCACAACAAAGACAAGCCACTGCGATGAGAAGCCCGCACACCGCAACGAAGAGTAGCTCCCACTTGCCACAACTAGGGAAGGCCTGCGTGCAGCAACAAAGACCCAACACAGCCATACATACATACATACATACATACATACATAATAAAATAATAAAATTAAAAGATAAACTAGAAAAGTGTATTTGCAACATATGTCAAATGGTTAAATTCTTAATTTGTATAGAAAGGTCTCTTACAAAACAATGGGAAAAAAACAACACCCCAAAAGAAAAATGAGTGAAGGCCATGAACAGAAAAATCACACAAAAATACAACTGCCAATAAAGCTATAAGCATAGATTTCCACTTCATTAAAAATCAAAGAATGCAAATGAAAACAAGGGTAACGTTAACAGGTATTTTGATTAACAGATATTTAAAAGTATGAGCACATAAAGGGTTAGCAGAAATGTGAAGCATAGGCATTCTAATCCAGTGTTTGTGGTAGTTCTATGAAATAATATTATTTTATATTACCCCCTAAATAATTATATTACACTGTATTCAACTTAGCAGCATGATTCCTTACTTTTCTGGTTTTAAGTCTCTATAGATTATTCCCAGGCTATGTAGATGGTCTAAAGCAAGCGCAAGTTCAGCCAAGTAGAATTTGACATCTTCTTCTGTGAACATGACCTAAAATAAAATAATAATTTTTCTGTCTTTATTTTCTTTTTGCATTTGCTATTTTTTTAAAGTTCCATCCTACAGTTTAAATATCAAAAAATTATAAATATGCTAATTACACAATTCACTTATGAAAGGAAATTTCAAAAATGACTGAGTTAGTCAACTAATGACTTACTAAATGCTAAATATGCACTGTGGGGAAAATAATTTTACATTTTGTTAAGTAACAACTATATTCAGATTGTGCCATTGTTGCTCCATCACAGTAACATCTTAGAAATGAAAAATGATCTTTACAATGCAGGTTGAATTTCCACTACTGATTGTTTAAGGATATCTTGTTGTTATATTATTGCTTCTGAAAAAACTATAACTAAAAGAAGCAGGGCAAAAGACAGTTTATCAATTTAAAATCTACTTTCCGAATAAATTCAGGAGTTAGGAAAATAACTCTTTTTGGCTCTGATTCGTCATTGTAAGAATCTTGTGCCACTTGACAAAATACGACAAGCATAATATTGAAATATAACAAAGCTTTAGTTGAAAAAGGATGTGTATAAATAGATTTAAAACAGATTAATTATATACCTCTTTGGATAAGCGTGTAAACAAATCTCCTCCCCTGAGAAAGTCCAATATAAGATACAACTTCCCTTCAGTTTGAAAAGCTGAATGAAGAAACGAAAATTTCCATTTAATTCATAGTTTAATTTGGGGGGCTTACATTAGGTCAACTCATTCACAAATGAATACTATTTTAGCAAATTAATGACTACATCATAGATCTAAACTGATTTTTATTTAGAAGTTAACCAATGATTCCTCTTAATTTCCACATAGAAATGTTAAATGCAGTGTTTCTTATTATGGAACCACTAAAACATTTGTTAGATTTTATTCAGGCAACAGTCTCTCAGGAATACAACAGTTCTAGAACATGCAGTCAATAAGAAAAATTCCCAACAGAAAGGACTTACTTAACCATGAAACAAAATACAAAATACCATGTCACTTAACTACAAAAAAAGGTGGATTGGTTAGCTTTAATTACACAGAATAAGAACATCAGGACGTCGATATTAGGGATCTTTCTTGCTTGTAAGTTAGGCTAACACATATAGACTATAAAATACTGGTACATTATTATTATTATAATTTAAAAATGATTATTATTACCTGTTCCTATGGCTATCACTCAGAAACTATAATGTTTAAAAGAAACACGAACCTAAATGCAATAAAAGCTTCTAAAATTTATCTAAGAAGTAATGGTTTAATTTCCATGACTTTACTATATGTATCTACTAGACACATACAAATATACACAAATAAATATTTATATACATTAGTATATCTGAATGCACTCAGGGAGTGGGAGAATGAGGTAAAGGGATGAGATGGCAGGTTGTTCATAACTTACCATAATGCAACTTGACAATAAAAGGATGGTTAACTTCTACCAAGATATCACGCTCCATTTTTGTCCGAACACGGTCTCGAACTATAAAATATTACACATATGGCTATACTGTAATAGCTTCCAGAGACAATCTTTAAAACAAAATCTCTTTGGTGACTATTTTAAATAAAATTTTGCTTATATGTATAAAAGCGTGAATTCGCATATAAATAAAATTACTTATATGTATAAATAAAACTATTCATTACTCTTGAATTTTCAAAATTAATAACCATTTTTTAATAAATTATGTTACCAGAAGAAATTGTATATACTTATAAAATCTGTGCTTTACATTAAAAAAGTACAGAGAACATATTAGATGTTGGCTTTAACATCAGATTTCCAAGTATTTTGATCAAAGTTATGAAAAATAGCCAAAAAAGGAGCAACTTTTTAAAAACAAGGCATTCCAATGAAATGTTAAAACACACACAAAAAATGAAATAGGTTTTAACACTTCTCCCTACCAACCTTATCAACTCAATTCAACAAACATTCATTAAGCATCTAAAATATGGGGCAGACATGGTGAAGGACAGATATACTCCAAAAGGTGTATTTTGAGGGAGGCAGGAGAGGAGAGATACTGAGAGGAAGTACTGTGGTGCAGCTGAAAGAGCAAAGGCTTTTTGGAGTTAGAAAAATCTGGATTCAGATCTGTGTCATCTTGAGCAAGTTACTTATTTAAACTCTCTGTGCCTCTATTACACCTCTCATCTATAAAATGGGGATAACACCACTGTATCTTTGGGGGCTATGTGACCATTTGAGATAAGGTTTGTACATCGAGAGCCTCGCATATAAGAGATATTCAATTAAATAGTAGTTATAGCACCATGAATATGATAAAGGGATAAAATGATGTATTACCACCAATAAGCAGTACAAGAATTCAGAAAAGGGAAAGATCAGTTTTACTTGCATAGGAAGGCTAGAGCAAAGAGGTGGGGTTAGGGACTTTTAGAGTGGCATTTATATGGGCAACAAGGATTGGACCGAGAGAAGAAAAGTCCAGGTATCGAGTACCAGTGCAAGCAAGGACATGGAGGCATGCATGATGAGCAAGAAGGAAGCTAATCAGTGTGGAAACTGGGGGGCTGGGGGTGGGTGGGGGTGGGAGGGGTGGTGAAGTAGGGAGGATCCAGATTCCTGACAATTTGGAATGCCAGGATGAATTTACATTTGACCCAGTAGGCAAAGATCTCTTTTACCAACCAAATATTTCCTGAGCAAACTCTGCATGCCAGGCACTGTGAGATACAAATAAAATAATCTTCAAGAAGCTAATAATCTGGTGGGAATGACAGACAAGTAAACTGATGATTAATCATCTGATAAGTACTCTGTTGGTAGCTCAATGGATTTAAGAGGTGAGAATGATCATTCATTAAAGTTTTTTTTTCTGTTGCATAATAAGGATAAATCACACATAACTTCTATTTTTCAGGCCAGAGAGACTGAATGGTTCTGCCGAAGATTAAATAGAAAGAATGGAAAGAGCGTCTTTTTTGGCAGTGGGGGCGGGAACAGACAGAATGATGAGTTTTCTTGTCAATTTAAGGTGACCACTGATATCTAAAACTCAGAACTAAGCCCTCTGGGAAAAATAAACAAATAAACTTAAAAATTTCCTATGTTTCCCACTCTACCAGTTTTCCACTCCAACTGGGAGATTTTGGTGCCAGTGACTGAAAATAGGCAAAACAGGAAAAGGACTCAATTGCTCTTGATATCAACGCAGCTCTGTCTTTTTATTGACTTGTTTTGTGGATGTATCAAATTCAGGATCAATCTCTGATTTTGTTATCTTGCCCTATCACTACAACTCTGATGCCTTATGTCCAACAGGCCCTTTCTATTATTTGTGTGAATGAGGTTCATCACCTAGGCCTGCTGACAATTCTAGTCTAGTCTAGCCCAAAACTGCCCTTTTTTCCATCGCTACCCATACAATCTTGGATTATGTTCCTATTACCTTAAAGCTAGATTCCAAGTTTCTACCTCTTTCAATACTTATACAAAGCTTATTTAATAAGCAGCAAAAATATCCATCAGTATATTTACTGTATATCCCTCTTCTATTATTGTACCACTATGGAAAGAACAATTACTTGGGAGTCAAGAGCTATAGTTTAGTGGCCATGCTAATAACTAGATGAGTTACCTTGGTCAAATCCTTTCATTGCTCAGGGGCTTCCTGCTTCCTTCTCTATAAAATGAGAGGCTAGAACCAGATGCTTTTCTTTCTATTATGATTACCTTGTGAGATAGTTTCCTTATATGCAACACTGATGAGACCTTGTTTAGTTCAAAACGAACAGTAAGATTCACTCACTAAAGAATTCCTTCCTTCTGTCTGAGATAGGACTGTGTAATAGTTCTAATCTGGTTTCTTTTATGTATATAAAGACCTAGTGACAAATATAAATCATCCTACAATCAGGAATTTTGATTAGGATATTAGTGGTTCAGAAGAAGGCATGCTTTACATTGGTTAAACTCTAAACCCCCAAAACTGAATTTGTTAATACTGACTCATGTTGGCAAAGCAACTACATTCCGCTGAAATAATTTTTATCACATACTAGTTATTACATTTTAAATTCTACTTGACTTGAACATGAGAGTGAATAAGAAGAAATGCTGTTTATGTTTCTAGAATTATGTATTAAGAAAATGCTTTAAGCAATAGTTTACAAAACCTTTTAGGCCCACAGACTACTTTATTAGGACAAAAGTCCCCATAAACTCAACCTAACACTTTTGACTTCTTTTTGTCCCCATTTATTATATTAATAGAAACTTTAAAATGGAAAGAGACTTCTGGTTAAACATGGATGTTTTACTTTCTACTTTCTTCTAAAACCCTATTGAAATTACAATAATGGAAAAATTATGCATAAACTCACAAGGACAAAAAAGAGAAGCAGTAGCAGAAGGTGACTAAGTGGTAACTCACACAGCAAATCAGAGAAAGCTAAAATCTAAGCTTAAAGAAAGGAGGTCAATGAGAAATAAGCAAATTCTTGCCATAGAACCCCTTCTAATCAGCTTTTTGGTACCGCACTTTTTTTTCTTTAAAAAAAATTTATTTTATTGAAGTATAGTTGATTTATAATGTTGTCTTAATTTCTGCTGTACAGCAAAGTGATTCACACACACACACACACACACACACACACACACATATATATATATATATATATATATGAATATAGGTACCTCACTCTTAAATGAGGAAAAGACAGCAAAGAATTCCCAGGAATTTAAGGAAAGACTCTAAACACGAAAAATAGCTATCAAAATAAGTAGAAAAATATAGACCTTATATAGATCCCGATTCAAACAAATTACAAAAAGAAAAATGAATTATAACAATAGGGACAACTGGAAACTTGAGCACTGATCAGATATTTGTATATTAATTTTTCAGGTATAATCATAGAATTGTATTATTTCAAGAGTCTTTATCTTTTAGAGATACATACTAAAATATCTATGGAAGAAATTATACAATGTCTGGGATTTGCTTCAAAATATCAAAAGAGGGGAAGGGAGAGAACACAGATAAAAAAAGATTGATTATGAATTGATAAATGTTGAAGGAAAAAGAAGGGTATATGGGGCTTCTCTATATTTTCTGTTTCTTTCTGTAGATGTTTGACACTTTCCATAATAAAAAGTTTTTAAAAATGTAATAATTAGGGCTTCCCTGGTGGCGCAGTGGTTGAGAGTCCGCCTGCCGATGCAGGGGACACGGGTTCGTGCCCCGGTCCGGCTGGGCCCATGAGCCATGGCTGCTGGGCCTGCGCGTCCGGAGCCTGTGCTCCGCGGCGGGAGGGGCCCCAACGGTGAGAGGCCCGCGTACCGCAAAAAAAAAAAAAAAAAGGAATAATTAGAGAACAAGGAAAATCTAGGAAATTAAAAATAATGGTAGAAACATGAAGTTAATAGAAGGGTTGGAAGATAGATGATAAAATTTCCTAGGAAACAGGAAAAAAAGACAAAAATGGAAAATAGGATGGAAAAAAAATAAAAATTAGGCAACGACCCAGGAGGTTCAAAATATCCAAAGAGTAGCAGTTATAAAATGGAGAAGAAATGACAAACTACTTTCCCAGAACTGAAGAAATGAGTTTCTAGATTGAAAGAGACCACCCCATATCTGGTATGATGAATTTTAAAAATCCACACTAAAGAAATACCATTATACAAATTTCAGAACACCAGGGATAAAGAGTAGCTTGATTCTAAAGACTTCTAAGGAGGAAAAGCAGCTTATACACAAAGGACTGGGAACCATAATGGTAATAAATTTCACAATTGCAACACAGGAAGCTGGAAGACAATGGAAACAATGCCTTCAAATATCTGAGGGAAAATTATTTCTGATCTAGAATTTTACGTCCAGTCAAATTATAAATTAAGTGAGGGGCAGAATAAAGGCATTTTCAGACATGTAGTTACAAAAAGTTTACCATCCATTCAGCCTTTCTAAAGTAGCTACTGGAAGATGTGTTTCAGCAAAACTAGAAAGTAAACTGAGAAAAAGGTAGGTACAGAATTTAGGAAAGGAGATCTAATACAGCAAAGATGTGAAGGATATGTGACTTCAGTACAGGAACAATTTGTATAAAGCATTATGAAAACATTACTAGGAGGACATGAAAAGGGAAACTGTGTGTAAGAGAACTAAATCCTAATCTTCCACGGTAGGAAGTCAAAAGATTATGTCTCCAAAATGAAAACAATCAAAGAATTACAATATAAGAATATTGAATGTGGAGGTAAAAGGCAGAAGCAGCAGCTAAAGAGACGGAAGTCATTGTCTCTGGGGGTCAAGAACTGGGATAGGGAGAAGGGTAGGAAAAGCACTGCTATTTTATAAGACTCTATACACATATTACTTTGATAAAAATAAAAATAAAATTTAAGAACACACCAGCAGTCTATAATTCCAATATGTCAAGTAGCTTCACTTTTCTATGGTCTCTTATATCGCTAACATCTATATAATTTTACATACTTGTGGTAGCCAAATTCGTTATAATGTTCACTTACAAATTTTTGTTACATTCATTTTTATGATTATATTTGAAATATTTCATTTAAATAATATTCTATTAAGTGGCATACCATACTTTTCTAAACATTCAATATTTATAAGATTTCTAAATTCTCGATATTCTAAATAATGTTGCAATGAAAATTTTCAAGTACACAAAATCCTTCTTTGAGATTATTTCCTTAGGTTACTTTAGCAGCAATAATGGTTCGTTGTACTTATTGCAAAACCGCTTTCTAACTTATGTTGCCATTATATGAAATAACTCATTATTTTATATGCATTTACCAGAAAACTGGGACATTTCCCCAAATGTTATTTATTTTATCCCCTTGCATAAAAATGTATTCTAAAACCCTTTAGGTGGAGGTTGTAAAGTTATTTCTTAGGAACTCCTAACTCAATCATTCCTTTTACATTTATTAGTTGGAATTCCATTGTAAGGAAGAGCTTTCCCTTGTTCTCCATTAATTTATGGATTAACGCATGGATTCTTTATTCAGTGGGTTGTAATCGATCACTGTCATTAATTATTGCAATGTTTAAACTGTCCTAGATTTGGCCAGTAGGAGCCTTTTAATAAATTCCTTATATATTAATATTTTGTAATATTTGAGGCAAATAATTTCCTGATTTCCTATTTATACTATTTTTCACTGTACAAAAGGCCAAAAGTTTTTGTACTGTCAATTTGTTTGTAATTTGTGCTTTGCTCAATATCTCTTCACAAGTTTCCTAGGATGTGTTAAGTTGTAAAATTCAGTTAGATTGTTTATTATGGTATATGGTTTAAGAGAAGACCCTAGTTTTTTTGCAGGTTGTTCATAAGTATTTCAAACAAAATTTAAAAAATCAGTATTTAATTTCCCATTGTTCTGGCCACCTGCTTTGTCATACAGCACAGCACTTACTCAATATTTTTGTAACAAATACATGAAACTTTAATATATAATACTTTTGTACTGTTTTGTTCCACTGGTTTACATGCCTGTATTATTCTCCCCCAAAACACAATGAATTATTACTGCTTTTAATAAGCCTTAAACCTGATAAAACTTGTTCCTTTCTCATTCTTCTTTTTTAGAATACTCTTTGAGGCGTATGTTTTCAAGTGAAATTTTCAATATTTCAAGGAAAATGCAACAGGAATCTTGAGGATATGGAGCTAACTGGATGATTAGAGGAATACTAAGAGTCTTAACAGCCTTCTCTAAAAGGAATTGGGCATGTATTTCCTTTCCCAATATCTTTTAGGTTTCTCAGAGTTCATAGTTTCCTTTACATATACTATGCACAACACAAATCCTCTTATATACATGAAAAAAACTACTTTTGTTGCTTTTGTAAATGAACTCTCAAATAAGTTCCATCTATGCAGCTTTATAACATGGAATTCATGAGTATAAAATTATAAAAGTAGTGATGTAGAGTAGGGCACTGAGGATATAATTTAATTTCCTGGCCCTAGCAAGAAATCAAGTAAGTAGTATGCCCAGGGATGGAGACTGGATAGGAAAGAAAATACATTCAGGAAGGGAGCAAGAGAACAGAGGCAAAGGATGGTGTTTATAGAGGAAGGTGAAATTTCTTGAAACGATGATAATATCCAGTGTGAGTTACTAATTGGGAAAAATAACATCAGAAATAATAAGTGATCATCACAGATATTCCTTCCAGAATATTTCAAAACCTTTAGAAAATACAGGTACGTTGAAGAGGAAAAAAAGAGATGTCAGGAATCAACACACAAAATAATTAGAGGTTATGTGGTAAAATAACTGATACTACTTTAAAAAAGGAAGATCTAAGTATTTAAAAATCTATGTACAATTTTTTCTAAGTGACTGTTTACCTATAAGAGCCAAATCTGACATTAGATTTTTCAAAATCAGAGGCTTAGAATAAAAACTTATTTGGAGACCAGAAGTCAAAATGATAAAGTCCTTAGAATAAAAGCTATTTTGCATCATAAATCAGTAAGTTTTCAAAACATTAAAATAATAATATGAACTGGAAGATGCATCAAACCTAGTTTTAAAATTCTAAACTTCTACTTGCCTAAAGCCCAAGAAGAATTTATAGTACTTCTTTTAAAGCATGGCAACTCCCATTCTCACTAGTCATATGATTCCTAGCCTTGTAGGAAAAATCCACTAAAAGAAAGTCTAAATTTAAAGACAGTAATGGGAACAGATTCTGAATTTAAGTAACTGGCCTAGGAGTCACATGAGACCTATTCAGATTTTTCAGTTTGTTCATACTACGCGAACACTACAAATAGCAGTAGCACTTACCTTTCAATGTGGCCTTCTTCAATACTTTCATGGCGTAAAGCTGTCTAGCATCAGAGCCTGAGATTTTTTTGACTAAGAAAACCTGTATTTAAATAAGAGAAAATAAGTCTTACAAAGTATCATAAACTATACTATTGCTAAAATAAGACCCCCTACTGTAATATAGCTTATTATTAGAAAGATTCTGATACATTAACTATTTTCCTTAAAATATTACCAATTATAAATATAGTGAGTTGTAAACACTGGTTATAACTTTGGGTGTCAATATAAGTGAATACATTTTTTGTGGTTGTTTGCCAATTCCCAAAGACCATGTAACATGTAAGACAGAAACAAAAATCTTTCAACTATGAAGCAATTAGAGAAAAGTCTAACATGTTTAAAGTATAACACAGGTGGTGATTGCTCTGCTTCTAACAAAACAAAAATTCTGATTCCATAAAAACTTTAATACAGAAGTTCCCCTTGACCACAATTTTCTGTTGATTCAATTCTGTTGATAGTCTTTTCTATGTATGAAAACTCCACAATTTCTCATTGCTGGGCAGAACAATTTATTTTTATTTTTTAATTTTAGTATAGATGATTTACAATGCTGTGTTAGTTTCTGGTGTACAGCAAAGTGATTCAGTTATATATATAAATATATATATATATATATTCTTTTTCATTATGGTTTATTACAGGATACTGAATATAGTTCCCTATACAGTAGGACCTTGTTGTTTACCTATTTTATATACAGCAGTTTGTATCTGCTAATCCCAAACTCCTAATCTATCCCTCCTTTATCCTCTTTCCCCTTTCGTAACCACAAGTCTGTTCTCTATATCTGTGAGTCTGTTTTTGTTTCGTAGATATGTTGATTTGTGTCATATTTTAGATTCCACATACAAGTGATATAATAAGGTATTTGTCTTTCTGACTTCACTCAGTGTGACAATCTCTAGGTCCATCCATGTTGCTGCAAATGGCATTATTTTATTCTTTTTTTTTGGCTGAGTAGTATTCCATTGTATATGTGCACCACACCTTCTTTATCAATTCATCTCTTAATGGACATTTAGGTTGCTTCCGTGTCTTGGCTATTGTAAATAGTGTTATGAACACTGGGGTGCATGCATCTTTTCAAATTAGAGTTTTCTCCAGATATATGCCCAGGAGTGAGATTGCTGGATCATATAGCAACTCTATTTTTAGTTTTTTAAGGAACCCCCACGCTGTTTTCCATAGTGGCTACACCAATTTACATTCCCATCAATAGTGTAGGAGGGTTCCCTTTTCTGCACATCCTCTCCAGCATTTGTTATTTGTAGGCTTTTTAATGATGGCCATTCTGACTGGTGAGAGGTGATACCTCACTGTAGTTTTGATTTGGGCAAAACAATTTAAAACACTTATACTGAAGAAATTTACTCACAACTATTTAATGTAAATTAAGTCGGAACCCTGCCTCCCCATCTTTTAAAAATCAAATACACACATATACCTAAATATTAAGAATACAATTCCCAGGGGAATTCCCTGGCGGTCCAGTGATGAGACACTATTGCACTTCCACTGCAGGAGGGGTGCGGGTTCGATCCCTGGTTGGGGAACTAAGACCCCGCAGGCCGTGTGGTGTGGCAAAAAAAAAAAAAAAAAAAAGCAAGCAATCCCCAGGTATGTTACTGAGTATCTTGATTTTCCAAATATTTTTGGCTGTTTTCAAAATATAGTGTGGGATTTATACAAAATGAATAAAGTCTGCTCTAAATAACTCACGGTCATGCTATGACTTGTCTAATACAATACCAAACTATCAATAAATCCCCTCTACTCATTTTGACCATTAGTTTCATTATCTTTTCCAGCAAACCTTTACACAGACTTGCTAAATGGACCTGAATTTCAACTTTTTTTCTCCTACCCATTCTTTCCTAGCAGTGCTACTGAGCTGCCACAGATGGTAAGAAGAGACTCAATTACAATCAAGAATTAACTCTAGGGTCAGCTCTCTATTACCTGCATTAGCACACTAGGCTATTAGCACAAAATAAAAAAATGATTCATTCAACTGATTCTAGGGCAAGGCAGAGTTCCTCACTTCGAGAAATTGTGCCGAAGACAATGGTCAGTGACCTCACGTCCAGTGAAAAGTGCCACAATGTGCACAGAAACCCTGATGCAGGGTGTGTTTCTCTCCCCAAATTACACCCATTGTCCCCCTTCACCGTGGCCCATGGTGAAACTTCCTTTTAGCCAGTTAGCAGTGAGCCAGCCTAGGGAGCGAAAAGTGTATTCTCAATCAGGGTTGTTCCTAAGATGGAATGATGTTTAAAAATTAAAGGCAATCAGAGATTATGAATATTTTTGAACTGAAATAAATTCTAACTAGGTGGGGATAATTAGGATTTACCTGATATTTATTATTCATTCATTCTTAAGATTCCCTAATCAAGCTTCTTCATACTATTCTACAAGAAAAATTCTCCTCATGGGTTCAAACTTTCTTCACCCTACTTTGAAAGCACCCTCTTGATACTTTTCAGCACATCTTAGTTTTTGCAAAGGACCTTCACAAGCATTTGTAATGCATCATCATGATAATTTTGGGAGGCAGGCCTACTAAGCAATGCCTATTTTATAGCTAGGGCTTTGAGATGTTAAATAATTAACGCAGTGTCACAGTGGAGGTATTGGGATAAGAATCGGGCCAGCCACCCAGTTCTGTGCTTCTGCTCAGGGCACTCAATCTGTTGCCTCTGGCTGGTCACCAGTCAAGTGCAGCAGGAGCAGCAGCAGTCCCAGATGCCATCAGACCTTCCCCCACCAGCACTTCTGACTTTTCGAATCCCTCATGAAGCTATTCTAGGCTGTGACAGGTCATCCCTGTTTCCTTGGCTGAGACTGGCTTTTGAGGATGAGTAAGAAAGGAGACGCCCTATTTTTAATGTTTGCTATTTATAGTAAGGTATTTAAGTTACTTTTAAAGAAATAAAGGGAGAAGCATGCTAACTCCTGGAAACTTCAATATTATGTTCCCTGAAAATATAATGTGTAGAAATAAATCCATCTATTTTGGTTTATCCATAATAAATTGCATGATAATACAATCTCATAGCAGATATTATGTGCTTGGCCTTATATCATTTAATTCTTACTACTACCCTATGAGGGCAGGACTATTATTTACTCATTAATTCTTTCCAGAACTATATGTTAGGTACCGTGCTACTGGTTCCATGCTGAGACATGGTTCAAGGCATACATGGCCCCTGCACTCATGGAACATATAGTCTAGTGGGGGAGACAGCCAATAAACAAATAATTACACAAACAAAAAACTGCAACTGAGGTTAGTGCTGTGAAGACGAGGTATGTAATGTTCTGAGACGGTAAAAATAGACAAATATGACCTAGGTCAGGATGGCTGGGAAGACTTCTTTGAGATCCTAAGCTTAAGAGGAGCCAACCAGAGGAGGAAGGGATGGGGGTGGGGCAGTGTTTTTCAGGCAGAGGGAACAGCATGTGCAAAAGGCTTTTGCTTATGGATTAAAAAAGAAGGCCAATGTGGCCAGAACACAGGCAGTGAAAAGTATATAAACTGATGTTGATGAGGTAGCTAGGGGGCAGACTGAGGGGCTCCTCAGCCATCTTAAGAATTTGTCTTTCTCCTAAAAGCAAAGGGAGGCCTCTAAAGGGTTAAGTGGATGGAGTATAAGACTAGCTCTTGTTGGCTGTCATGTATTGATAAATAAAGGCTTGAGGCAAAAATAAATTTGGGAAGCCCAAGGTAGGAGCCTCCTTCAATAGGCCAGGGAGAAATGGTGGTGGCACAGACTGGAGAAGTGGCAGGGAGAAGGAGAGAACAGGCATGATTTGAGAAATCTTCACTAAATCAGCATAACTTGTCAATGGATCAGATTGGTGGGGGTGGGGGGAGAGGGAAGGGCGGGGACTAGAAGGATATGTCAAGAATGCCTCTCAAGTTTCTGGCTTGCTTAACCAGAAGTCATTCATAGTAATAGAGAAAAATGAAATAGAGGTTTGGGGGTTAGGGGAAAATCATGAGTTTGGTCTTAGATATGTTGAGTTTAAACTGACTTTGGGGCATGCAAAGAGGAAAAAATAAGTAGCTGTACATACAGTTCAGAGTTTAGAGTCACAATCTAGATTGGAGATATAAATCTGTTACATCAGCTGTATGTGGGTTTTATTAAGATAGTGGGCATAAAGAAATTAATTAGTAGGGAGTATAGAGTGAGAAGGGAGCCTAGAATGGAACCTTGAGAACTTCAATACCTAATGACTGCCTAGAAGAGGAAAATGGGGCTCCAAGACGTTAAGTAACTTGCTCAAGTGCACATAGCAATTAAGCAGAAAAAACGAAACAAAACTAGAATCCACGTCTGGCTGACCTAGAGCTCAAACTTGCAACCATTATCTTCTTTTGGCTACTTAATCTATATCTGGATTAAAAATATCACTTTGGGCTTGAAAGAGGTTAACAGCTGTAACAGATTACCTATGTTAGCCAAGAATTGCTAAACAGTCCCGTTAAAATACACAAGAGAGCAAAACGGGTGTTGTTTTGAAGCTTGCAAAGTCTATCTTCAAATGCTTCCTCACAGAGAGGTGGCAAGGAAGCACTGCACTGTGAAAGCTGAATGCAATCTCAGAACGTTCCTCTTGCTGAGAAATGGACTAGATAGATCAAATAGTAGTGATTATAATGCTGTACTTCTCAAAATGGAGTACAGGAAGCGCTCCTGAGGTATGCAGCAGGGGGACAAGGAATACTTGAAAAATGATAAAGATGTTGCAATTTTAGTTGGTGGATTTGGGAAATAGTTGAGAAATATTTTTGGATATTAAAAACAGACACAGAGGGGCTTCCCTTGTGGCGCAGTGGTTGAGAATCTGTCTGCCAATGCAGGGGACACGGGTTCGAGCCCTGGTCTGGGAGGATCCCACACGCCAGGGAGCAATTGGGCCCATGAGCCACAACTACTGAGCCTGAGCATCTGGAGCCTGTGCTCCGCAACAAGAGAGGCTGCGACAGTGAGAGGCCCCCGCTCGCCGCAACTAGAGAAAGTCCTCGCACAGAAACGAAGACCCAACACAGCCATAAATAAATTAATTAATTAATTAAAAAAAAACAAAAACCAGACACAGATATCACTGAATAGAATGCAGCCTTTGAGTTCATTTTAAAGACAAGCTATAAGTCCCCCAAATTTCGTACATGTAGTGGTAACCCCCCACCCTATTTCCTTGGGAGTACCTATTTGCTTTCTGCTGGTATTAGGGGTACTCTGGAGGAAAGATTGAGATGCACTGTTATAATGTATTGTAAGATCACCTTCCGATTCTACATGAAGACTCAAAAAGAGGCCAGTGTGTCACGGGAACATTTTGTGATTTTTTAATCATTCAGGAAGTGCAATTAGGGCTTCCCTGGTGGCGCAGTGGTTGAGAGTCCACCTGCCAATGCAGGGGACACGGGTTCGTGCCCCGGTCCGGGAAGATCCCACATGCCGCGGAGCGGCTGGGCCCGTGAGCCATGGCCGCTGAGCCTGCGTGTCCGGAGCCTGTGCTCCGCAACGGGAGAGGCCAAAACAGTGAGAGGCACGCGTACCGCAAAAAAAAAAAAAAAAAAAAAAAAAAAAAAAAAAAAAAAGAAGTGCCATTAGAGACGTCATATAGTCTTGAAGATAAAATGAATATGAAGTGAACACTGCCAAGTTATGAAAGTTCCCATTGTACTTCTGAATGACTTTATTCACTTTGTCACACTTACTGATAGTGAGAATTGCAAAAACACAGAAAATACTGCATTGTAGGGAGATCAGTAGTATTTCATAAAATATTTCTGTTCCCCATTTGTATGAAATATATATGAATTCCAAAAAGCAACTTTTTAAAAAGCACATATTCATGGCTTACCTTTCCAAATGATCCCTGCCCTAGTACTTTTAAAAGTTCAAACTGGGAAGGATCTGCCTTTTCATGTCCTTCCTTTACATGATGTGTGATTGCAATTTCTTTGATACTGCCTTCTTCCTGTTGATGCAAATATAAGGGGATAAAACAGAGTTAGAGCTACTTCCTCTGGCTATAAATCAAGCAATGTAAATTTATTGTATCATATTAGAAATCCTCAAATTAACATACACAAACCACCTTTACTGACCCACCAAGTAAAAAGAGAACACATGCCAAGCAAATATACTTTCAAGTTAAATGCCAGAGAAAGAATAATACCAGCCAACCACATAGGCCAGTTTAACCTCTACATAACATTAGTTCTGAATACTTTCAAGTCTTCACTCTTCCTATTGGAGATAATCAGAATGATTAGTTTCATGGGGTGAGGGCAGAGTGTGTAAAGAAGTCTGAAAACAGATCAGAGTAATCTGGTGTGCTCTGATATGTGATTGTATTAGGTAGAACCAACACTATACACAACAAAACCTGATTATTGGGGAGAGGGGTTGAAAAATATTCCAGGGTCAACGTGGAGATTTCTACCCTCAGCAAGGCCGTTTGAATTAGCCTGTGAAGTTTACTGTGTTTGAAATATCTAAGTTACTTTCTGTTTCTAGGACTACCTGAGATCTGAGATGGGAGAAAGGAATAACTCTAAAACACAAAATCAAAAAAGATTTAACATTTGGATGGAGGATTAGACAGAAAAAACATGTTCAGCATGATGGAAAAGTAGAAGGTCTTAGAGTTAAGAGAAGGATACTTAAAGAATGTGGATGCTTTACTATACCTGAGAGAAGGTGTCAGAAGAGAAAGGTTGAAAATACATGTAAGTAAACATAGAATTTCAATTACTTTATTACCCTGAGATCAGCAGATTAAGTACACCTTATTTATTCAATAATCAAGACATGTACTTTATCAGCCCAAAACTACGACAATAAAACAAAACCCAACAAAACAAGAAACATAAGCCTGTCAAAGACTATCTTTTCTTTTTTTTTTGCCTATAATGTTTTTTCTAGTGCATACGTACTATGAGTAGAATCTAAATGTGTTATACAAACATAAATAATTCATTATTTTTATTACCATTGTATTCCATATAAATGCTTGAACTCAAATAACATTCTCCGAGACACAGAAGGCTGGCAATATAAGGAATTACAAAGATTTCTCAAAAAGATATACCAAGGATATCCTAATGTGGTAGCTTTTGAAAATGAGTAGTAAAAGGAAAAAAAGCTCCTATAAGAGAACAGAAAAGAAATCCAGGCCCACCAATTTACTCTGTAAGACAGAAGCTGTAGTTTGTAGAATGTTCTACTAAGGCAGCTTAATCATTTTGGACTTTCCCGGAACTTTGACAACAATAATAAAACAATCCCCTAATATGGTTTAGTCTTTTATTTTGTAATTCCATACGCATTATCTCATTTAATTCTCACAATGATCCTATGCAATAGGCATTAGGGTAGAATCAAACATTAGCTGACTCCTTCCTGGGCACCCCTTCTCTCCAAATGAGACCAATGTGTACAAGGTCTTGAGAGTGATAGCTGTTCCTAGGCGCATTAGGAAAGAAAGGAAGCAAATTACCAAATTCTCTAAAAAAAAAAATTTCAAAGAACAATGTATATGTGGGATTGATTAAGTAAGAAAGATTCAGATTAAAATCCAGCAACTATTTACTAAATACCTAACATGTATCAAGCCCGGGTTAGGTGTTTTTTCACCTTTTCTATTTATGCTTCATGCAAATCTTTGACTACATATCAGTATTAGAGAGGGCTAATGATAACACAGAGTATACCCCAAAGCAAGCAAAAACATTTCAGAACTCTCTACAGACTCCCCCATTCACCATTAGAAATTTTAAAGGTAAAATGGTCTGAATATTCTACAGTCTGAAGTTTAAAGAGATCAAGTAAAGATCACAAACTAGTAACTGGCAGACTTAGGGCCCAATTCCAGGTTTTCTGACTTCTAACAACTTCTAAAACAAGGATCTTAGCATTACACCACATTGAGACTGTCATGAGGCTCTTGGTGGTTCCCCATCCAAGATCAATGACAGTAACATACAGACTTATTCCCCTGGCCTTTGTAACTGGTCTGTATCTCTTCGGTCAGTTAGCTAAACTGATTAGTGGTCTCTGAACTTTTGGTAGTACACCATTATTAATAAAAAAAAATAGCATATACCCAATATTTGTATACTTATTGGCTTATATATACTTTTTGTATTACTAAATTATATATATACTTATAAATTATATACTTTTTGTATTACTAAATTATATACATTATACATGGAAATGAAACTATAAAGAAGTTCTCCTCTTTCTTTTCTGTACCCTAAAGTGCTGTCACATCAAACTTTGAAGACTAATTGATAACAGACTTGAACTCATGAGGCTAAGTTCATGGGTTGGATTCCAGCATGTGCCAGTGTGCCTCCTGTGGGAAAAACGAACTGTTCAAGAGCCTAACTGAAATCTAATGGCTATTTACGCCCTTATATCATGACGCTGTGAAGAACTATACCCTGTAATGTTCTATATATTTTACCACTTTTCTTTCTTGGGTTAAGTGGGATGTAATTCATTAGGCTGCAACATTATTTCATCTTATATTTCATAGCAAATACCTACTACAATTGTCTGTCACAAATAAAGATGCAACATAGGCAAGGAAGGACTACTGAATTATAACCGTTCTGCATTTTGTCACAGGCATACAGCATCAAGCCTTACTCTCACAGTGTGAGCTACCATCAGGCCATGGATCTCAAAATAAACAGCAGTTACTATTCAAGAAAGATTTCATCTTTGATGACTATCCTTCCTTTCATGTCAAAAAATTACTAAAAAATGTAGAGTCTCCCTTTGATCCCTTCATTCAATAAACACACTTAAGCACCTATTATGTATCAAGCTTGGTTCTGGGAATACCTTTCATTCTATTTCCAGTAACATCGTCCTGCTGTAATCCTTCGTTACCTTTCCTGCAGGAAATTGAAACTAGCTTGGTCACTCCTAATGCCCCTTTCTGCCACTGCCACTCCAATCCATCCTCCTGACAAATTCATTTTCTGAAAGTAGACAGCTCCAGTTACATGCCCAGACTGCTCAAAAACTCCTCCAAGTTTTTCCAAATTAAATGCACTGCTTGACCTTGGCATTGGAGGCCTTCTACAATATGGTCTCAACCTGCTTTTCTGGTATTATTTCCCAACATTCCCTTACACGTAGCCTTCTGTCAACTTGGGTTATTTCCTGTTCCCTAAATTTTTTGTTTTTAAAGTCAAAGTAATATATGCACATGGGTAACAAATCAAATAGTGGTAGAATAGCTTATGGTGAAAAGCAAGTCTCTTCTCACCCCCATACCTAAGTTTTAAAAAAATTTTAATTCTTTCTGCACTTACTTTGATCATTTCTTAGTTTATTAACTTTAAGACAATACCTATTGATTTAAAAATAAGAAAGATGAGGGACTTACTTATATTATGCCCCTTCCATCCATCACCTTCCTCCCCACTGTTTGATAATTATATTAATTTCACATAAACTTCTTGTTTTTTCTATAAGTTTTAGACAGAATCCTAATTCTTCACTTTGTAAAAGGAGGGTAATAGTGCCCATACATTCTTTCCCTCAAACTTCCCCCCACCTGCTAATAGCTTATTTTTATTAATATTTAAGGTTATTAATATTAAGAAAATTAACATTCCCTCCTGTAACCACAACCAAATCCTTCATGCTCTCACTACAGCTTGATTCTCAAAGCTGAAAGCCTATATAAGCAGCAGCATTTTCATGACAATATATTGCTCAAACGCAGGCTAGGAAGTGTATTAAATTTCCTTTCATATGGGCCCCTAACAGTGACTTGTGGGACAATCCAAGGGGACTTTAAGTCTTAGATTTTTACCATACTTTCCATTCTTCTGAGAGCCCTCTCTTACCCTCCCATCAGGATGGGTTGTTCTCTAGGCCTTGCTGCGTAGATATTATCTCGGGATATATCTTCAGTGCTTTCCTGGTTGAATCCACTATTTTCAGTTTCCCATGTCTCTCTCTTTCTTAGACTACTCCCTTGTAACTTCCAAAGAAAGGTGATGTGGAAGAAAACTTTCTGGATCTTGCACATCTGAAAATGTCTCTATTTTGTCTTCACATTTGTATAATTTGGCTTGCTACCAAATTCTAGAATAAAAATAATCTTGCTCAAGAATGTTGGCGCCATTCGTCCACTGTCTTCTAGCAGTCAGCACTGCTGATGAGCTGGATGATGCTAGCCTGATATACACTTTTTGGTACGTGACCTGGTTTTTCTTTCTGGAAACTTTAAGAATTTTCTGTCCTTGTATTTCTGAAATTCCACACTAAGTGAGATAAATATGGTCTCCTTTCCTTCAGAATGCTAGATGCTTGGTGAACCTTTATAATCTAAAGACGTGAATTCTTTACCTCTGGGGGAATTCTGACATTTCTTTGATAATTTCCTTCCATCCACTCTTCAGGGTTTCTCTTTTTGCAACAACTCTATTAGCTGGATACTGTATGCCTGGAATTTAATTTTCATCTTTTTTCCTCCTATTTTCTGTCTCTTTTCTGAGAGACATCCTTGACTTTATTTTCCCACCCCCATACTGAATTTTTTATCCTGGCAAATCTTATTTTAAAATAAATCTTCAAGTGCTTCTTTTCTCAATATTTCTTTCTTTTTTTAAATAGCACCTTCCTCCACTCCCTACCACTTCCTCCCCAAAATGGATGCAATCATTCCAAACCTCCTTGAGGATAGTAACTAGACTTTTAAAAATCTTTTTTCTAAATTGGGATGCAGAGGATACAAAAAATGTTCTTGGGGGTGGAGAGAAAAGATCAATGCCTATGGCCCAAGTTGCAAAAACTTGCAAAAACTATCCCCAACACATTTTTCTGCTCCTTCCCAGTTGAAATTTTTACTAATCATATCAGCAAGCCATTTTCTATCTACTTTTATGTATATGTGAAGTCACAGTAGCATAATAGGCACAATATCCTTGGTTGGTATCTTGATCCCCA